CTTATAGGGTTGGTGGATGAGTAAAAGACTACTGATTCTAGACGTCATGACCGATTATAAGGATTTAATCACATTGTTACATGTCCTAAGGCTTTACATTGAAAAGGAAAACAATTTCGTTTCTTAGGCTCAACGACAGTGTGATTACTAAGAATGACATGAGCGGAGCAGCAAAATCGCGACGCAATCTGGCAATTTGCCAGATGGCTTCGAATGCTGTACTTGCACACTAAAGGTACATGATTTTTATAACTCTTGCAGACTAATAAAATGCCCTTTTGTACCTTGAGAATGCGTTTACTAGAAATTAAACAGTTTAAGTACTGCCAGATTGCGTCGCGGCTAAAATCGTGTGGAGTAGCCCGTTAACAAGTTACGTTTTTGCAACTGCAGCTTCATTTTCCATACTATCATCACAACCTTGATGCAAACAGTCTGCGCGGAATTGACTGAAGTACTTATTTAGGTAAATCAGCTACGCCATCCTTCTGTCTCTCTATCAAGGCTGAATCGGGTACGTCTGTTTCATTGCTCTCTAGATGTAACTTAGTGATATCTGTCCTATAGCTTCTCCAAAACTTTTTCTATGTCAGCGAGACTTTAACGACTAGAACCGATCACCTCTATCAGAAAACGTATTCTTAACGAGGCTGCTAATAATTGATTCCAATAGGTTGCGTGAACACGAAGTGTTCCACTTGACACCTGCTGGACGAGTTTTCTCGGCTTATTTCGAGAAGCCGACGAAATTTCTCCGCACGACTTTCGATGCATGTCCGTCCACCATCCGGATTTGCAATACGCAATGCGTGATGATACCGATCAACTACCGACCAATGCTTTGGGTTCTCGAGAGTTTTTGCACTAGCTCTTCACGCTACATCGCCCACGCAACCGCAGATAATACGATCTTGGACTGGCTGCCTCGAGAATTTGATCGTATTAGCACTGAGTTTCTGGAATACGGGATTTCAGTTCAGAATCGATTTTTGGACGATCACAATGCGGATGTGTGGACTTATATGTAGACTTATTGGCGTTTCAGTGAAATCTGAAAACCAGTGAACAGACTACATCAGTTTTGATGGTGATCTCTTGTCAATTTGATGTCGAGTCACTTGCGGGCTATATGGAACGACTGACGAGTGTTCTGCTGATGTTGTGACAATGCCTTGTGTGAAGCGTGTCACACTTATCTTGAGCTTCGAGAGGTAAAATTGTCAACTATTTTGGCTTCGTAGAAACACAAAGTTGTTGTAAAACTGCCATGGAGCAGAGAGCTACAATACCGCTCGTAAGTCGTGAAAACAAAAATCACCGCACTCTGCGGGAGTGGGAGTTCGCCGAACTTTGGATGGATATCTTGCTTTGTGGACGAATTCTCAATCCAAAGACACCATTGAACTCAACTTGACAAGATGCATCTCCTGATATATAGAATTGCCCGTTTGAGCAGGATTGTGGTCAAATTTCAAGGATCCTTCCAGATTCTTGCTCACAATAGGTTACACTCAGAGTAGTGAATCATTGCACAATGACTAACCTACCGAAGCAGAAAATTTGAAAGGATCCGTGAAATTTGACCGACTTTCGTGTCCAAACAGGCAGTTCTATATATCAAAAGATGCATGTCGTCAATCGGAGTTAAATGGTGCTTTTCTATTGAGAATTCGTCCACTCCGAGGCAATATATCGATGCAACCAAAGTTCGGCGATCTCCGGCGGAGTGCGGTGATTTTCTTCACAAATTACGAGCGGTGTGGCGGCTCGGTGTGATCAGCACCTTGCCCTAAGTGCTCGCCGCAGCTACACCTAACTCCCTATTGTCCCCTACGATGTCGCGCGTCCACCAAGGTTCATGACGCCTTGACGGGCGCTGCCGAGGACTACCCTCTACAAGAATAAACGGCACGGTAAAATAGCGCGTAACGCTAAGAGAGAAAAGGACCGGCTAATTTAGACTACATTTATCTATAAAACGCAAAAATAAACTACTATACTACAAAAACTACTGAAATTATTAAAAACTGCTAAACTACTACTTCAAATGCATGAAAAAACTAGGCACGGGGCGAGCCGCCTCGTCCCGTGCTGCCGATGCTGATGGTGATGAACTCCAAGAAGTAGTTCCGGGCTCTCCATTGGGTCAACCGCAAGCCCCTAGCCCTTCCGGGACGGTGTGACCCCTCTCCACTCCCGCGAGTACACTTCCTGCGCAAGACGAGCCATAACATTTAGCTGCGCGTCTCCAAAACCAAGAAGATAGCAAAGGCTCAACCGCTCGAAACCGATGATCATCTGCGGGAGCTGTTGGAGGCGCTGCCAGCACGAACGAAATCATAAAAACGATCAATACGAACGGAAATCGAAGAGGCGTAGACCGCGGCCTACGCGCCCTTATATACCCTGTGACTTGGCAACGCGCCCAGCAGGAGAGGTCTTGGCGCGATCTTGAAAGCGCGCCAAGTAACGCGATAGCCAGCGCTCCCGGCCTCCTGTTTCGAGGAGTGGCTTGCATCGCGAGCCGCGACACTCCCCCCCCCCCCCCCCGAAACAGTGGACTTGGACGTTCGGATGGTGGTTACGTGATAGCGCTGGAGTCCACAACGGAGAACACCTAACCGAGTATAGCCAAAAAAGAAACGTCGCCATCGGCAGCACAGTAGGGGCGCGCGACAAAGAAAAATGAACAACTCGGCCCGTGCAAAAATGCAACACCTTCACAAGGGCGCTATCGCGCTCGAATACTTGATACAGTTCTGCACCAATGCGCACGACGCGCCAACTAAACTATGGATGATAACACGAAATAAAATACAGCTAAGAAGGATGGTAAAAATAGCTGAACGTCCACAGTTAGTGAAGGTGAAACAGACTAATGTATTGATTATTGGGCAGGTAGATGCGGTAGTAGTTGCTGTTGGTGCCATGGAGCTAATAATCGGACATGCGCATTCGAACAACCATCCATAACCAGGTGTGCTCAATCAAATGATACAATTCTGTAACACACATTATTTACGAGGTCAAAATCAAACAAAATCGAACCATACATACCGAATCAACTGCCTCCATAGTGATGCTGACGCACTATCTACCCTGGAAGGTCCCAAAATCCTGCGCTCACGTCTGAAATGATGTTACCGAGGCGCGCGAGCGCTTCCTCCCATGCGCGAACGGGGACCAAATACATATAGATGACAATGAAAAACGTAATCGCGCAGGCTAAAGATGTTAAAAAATGGACTTCAGTCCAGCCTCCCACGACAAGGATGTTAACGCGCGGGCGTCCTCTACGCAAACTGCACAAGGCACAAGGTTAGCAAATACGCGCAGAAAAAAAGGATAGCAAGCTCTTCTACTACCTGAGGCGCGTATGCGCAACAAAAAATGAGATATGCAAAATGCACAAAGTACATATGCGTAACCTTGGCTGTTCAAAATAACGCGCGTGCGCTGAAAAATACCTGGCAGTAGATACGGCGTAGGAGGTGCTTGACCTGGGCTGGGTGAAGTCAAAGTCTGATCCGAGGGAATCCAAATCCGTGGCTGTGGCACTGCAAAAGCTATGCACAGAAAAGTCGTAGTCGGGTAAAAAAGTCTTATAAGGGTATTAGCATGTCCCTGTAAGCAATCAAGTGAACCAACACCTAGTTTATTCGAGGATCGAACTCTTGACACACAATTCAATGCACTGAAGCAAAAACATGATAGGCGCGTCCTCGCGCACTACATCATACTACATACGTACGAAACAAATAGGATAACAAAGCAAGAATAAACAACAAATGAAATCAACAAATAACAATTAAAACTAACAATAACAACATACGTTTGTAGAATGATGATTTCACTATCATTTTGCCTTCACTGTCCTTGATGGTTGAATCCGTGTCGCTCTACGCTCCTGAGCGTTCGCCTGAAGATCCTCTGTGTCTGCTGCACTGATCTCTAACGGCAGTAGATGATTGAGTGCACGGTCCACTATCTTTCGCTTTCCAATCTTAATTTTGGCTGATCTTACATTGCCATCGGGTGAGGTGTGTAACTGCAGAATGAGGCCAAGTGGCCATCTAGATCTTGATAAATCCTGTTCTTTCATTAGTACTACGTCTCCTATGCGCGGCGACCTTTTGGTACCGGAGCCCTTCTGGATGCGCATCGCTTGTCGTTCTGCGAGCGCGACGAGGTATTCCTTGTGCCATATATCCCAGAAGTAATCAAGATCGGTCTGCAGGAGCCGGTAATGCGTCTTCAGGGATTCGTAGTTGTCGCGCGACGACGTCTCGATCTTCTGAGGCATGCTGTACGTCAGGCGACCTAATCGAAACTGTGGATTTATCAGATCTATGGGTCTTATCACCAAGTCCATGTTCGAGTTGGCCGAATTCGCCGGAAATAAGGGTCTCGTGTTAAGGACGGCCTCTATTTCAAGGATGAGCGTCTCAAAAAGCCACAAGTCGAGGATTTCTCACCGAACCGTCTTCTTCAAACAGCTCTTCACTGATCCTACCAAACGCTCGTAGAATCCACCTTTCCACGGCGAGTATGGTGTAATAAAAGTCCATTTGATGTTCTGGCTTTCGACGAATCCGTCCACTAGGGAATCTTCTGCTACTTCCTTCAGGCTATTGGTAATGATCTCCCTTCCTAGCTTGAACGTAGGCGCGTTATCGCTTATGACGGCATCAGGAGCTCCTCTACGCGCAATGAATCTTCTAAATGCTAGGAGAAATTGGAAGGTTGAGTTGTCCTTGACTACTTCGAGGTGTAGCGCGCGCGTAGACATGCAGGTGAAGAGACAAACCCAAACCTTATGGAGAGTGCCTGGGTGTAGACGGACTGAGATGGGGCCAAAATAGTCGAGTCTGATGTTCTGGAAAGGACGACTTCGAACGACCCGTTCCGGAGGAAGATCTGGTGAACGTGGATATGCGAAAAGATGGCCTTGGTACCGCTTGCACGTCACACATCTAGCAATAGTCGATTTTACCATGCGTTTAAGCCTGGGGATGTAGAACCTCTCGCGTAAGGCGACGATCAAATGGGAAGTACCAGCGTGGAACAGCTTCTGATGATAATGAGCTACTAGCATGGCGCAAAGGGGATGACCTGAGAGTACGAGGATCGGGCTCTTCGCTCCCGCTCGTCTCTGCGTTCGCCATACGTAAGTCCACGCGTACTGTTCCGTCTCCTTCCTGCCTCGTGCGGAGTTTCTTCAGCTGAGAGCCGTGTAACTGCTGAGGAACCTCGCGATAATGCTCGTGGATAACGATCAACTCAGCAGCTGAAAAGTCACCCGGTGTTACAGTGGGACTTGCGTCTATTGTGCCGAATAGGGGATGCTCGTCGGAATCATCAGCGCTGTGGCGCGTCCTTACTAAACGGCGTCGCTTGGCTACATACTTCAGGACGTAGGCTGTGATACGAACAAGTCGGATGTAGGAGTTAGTACGCCTAAACGGTACAAAGGACTGGTAAGGTGCCATGATGGTATTGGCTGAAGTTACTACTGCTGTGGTCGTCCGTAGTTCTTCAGAATCTCCTTCTGGAGGTGGATCGGAAGAAGTGTTGAAGGACTTGCACGGCCAATCAGCAAACGGAGTCGTGATGAAGGATGGACCACTCCACCAGATGTGATTCTCAAGCTCTAAAGCTGTGAGTCCACGGGTGGCGCAGTCAGCCGGGTTAGCGTCAGTAGCCAGATAATAAAATCCACAGTCGATGGTGTCAGACTTAAGCTCGTCGAGAACCTGTCGGATGTACTTGACACGGTTGGCGACGTAAGTCTTGAGCAACTTGTTAGAATAAATCCAGTACAGTACTATCTGAGAATCAGTCAGGAATCTGATGAAATTGAAGCGAATTTTGAGCTGGCTTTTCAGGAAACGTACTGTTTTTGCAGCCATGTGGCACGCCAAGAGTTCCATGCGCGGGATGGTGATCGCGCCCGATGGTGCTAACTTTGCCTTAGCAAAGAGTAGAGTGGAACTGGGACTATAGGTGGACGTGCGCGTTACGACATAGACTGCTACAGCATACACTCGTTTCGACGCGTCTGAACAGATGACAAAGTCGTACGCGTTGGCAGAAGGATATCCTACAAAACGAGGTAGTCTCAACTGAAAGCCGCTGATCTCCTGAACGATGGTATTCCACTTCTGGGTAGTACTTTCATCTAGCGGATCGTCCCATGAATAACCAGATTCCCAGAGGTGCTGTATAAACATCTTAGGTCTTATAAGAAGCGGGGTAAGAAGTCCTAGTGGATCGAAGATCGATGCATAGGCTTGAAGCGCGGTACGCTTGCTCGACACTTCTTGTCGCGCGATCTCAATAGGCACGTAAAGTACATCGAGCTTGGGGTCCCATTTGATCCCTAGAAGCTTCACGAATCGTCCGGGTAAGGTCATACAATCCTCTTTTGGAATCCTAAGCATCGTCTGCTGGTTGTTAGACATGAACTCCCGTAGGTTCATGTGCATGCGACTGAAGATTTCCTTGCACTCCATCTGCTTCGTAAGACACTCCTTGGTGGTATTCGCTCCGATTAGCACGTTATCAACGTACGTGTTGGCAAGAATTTCTTCTTTGAGTCGATTGGCTGGATCCCTCTCGAGGAAATATCTGATGGACATGTTGAGTAGAAACGGTGATGCGTTGATGCCGAAAGGAACGCGCGTGAAACGCAAGATCCGGAGATTCTCGGTCGACGGAGGTTGGTGGACATCTCTCAACCACAGAAATCTGGTGCAGTCCCTCTGATCCTGGTGTAAGTGGATCTGGTGGAAGGCTTTCTCTACGTCGGCGATCATCAGATAACAATGTAGACGGCTACGCAGCAGGGTTCCTACAAGATCGGGTATTAAGGAGGGTCCTTGATGCAGACAATCGTTCAAACTGGGATGTTTCTGATGGCTCGAGGCATCAAAGACTATACGAAACTTGGTGGTCTGGCTATCCTCCTTATAGACTGCCTGATGTGGAATGTAATACGTGTTAGGGCTCGAAGGGGGCAAATCCGTAACATCCTCGATTACGCCTGATCGTAGCTGACGATCGAAGGTATGGCAGTACTCGCTCCACGCTGATGGTATTGCATGGAGTCTCTCATACTGGCTCTCTAAACGACGAAAGGCGAGAGCTTTGTTGTCCGCCAAAGGAGGATGCTGGGATTTCCACGGAAATGCGACGTAGATAGAACCGTCGATTATCCTAACACTATCGTAGAACTGCCTGATGACGTCGGCATCTGGTATTACATCTGAATCGTCTAATCCGAGTGTGTCTAGGCCGAGGAGACTTCGTAAAAGCTGTTTCGTTCCTGGCGCGTCATCGTTAAGTAGAGTCGTTGCCGAGCTAGTGATCTCCGATACTACTGGATAACTAAGACCTGATAGAACTGGTCCGAAGCGAGTGTGGGACAGAATGAGACCTGATGGAAGCTTCTCATTCCTATGCAAGTCCACAACGCGCCAGTAGTTATCTATTCCAATGAGTACGTCGACTTCGACTCTATCGTCCATATAGGTGTTGTTCGTCTCATCCAAGTTGTTCGTCTTCGGGACCGTTGTGATGGTATCGCGCGTCCAAAGCTGGAGTTGAATTGGACGATCGAGCTGGTCCCATAACGTGAGTGTGACTTCTGACGAGTCTTCAGTGAACTGGTGTCCCCCGAAGGTCAGAGTCGTGACAGTCCTTGTATTCTTGAAAGTCAGGCCGAGATGGTAGGCCAGCGAGGTACAGATAAAACTATACTGCGAACCGCTATCGAGGAAGACAGTAAGCAGTTCATCCATACTAGTTTTGAGATTCCGGGTGATAGCATGAACCACCATTAGACGAGGAACCTGAGTTGCGGAAGCAGCTCGGCACACAGAAGTGCAAGATGAAGGTGAATGTGGCCCTACGCTAGCTTCATGTTGGTCGAGCAACTCTATGGGCTCATCTGACTGGGTGGAATCATGCGCGACTGGAGTGCAGGTGGACGTTTGCACAGCGGGAAACGCGCTTGAAGATCTTCGAGGAAGAGTAGCGCGTCTAGAGTTGGAACGTGACTGACGCCTAGATGGAGATGGCGGTCTGAGAGTAGGTCGACGCGAAGGAGAAGTGCGCGGACTCGCGTATTGGGTGCGAGGTGGTGAAGGGTGCGCTGTCGTCTCAAACTGTACGCGTCTAGGTGAAGGAGTGCGCTGATGGACTTGCGCAGGTGGGTACGACGAATAGGGCGCAGATGGTAATGTAGCACACAAGGCTGGATGGTGTAATCTGCCACAGTATCTGCACGTAGGGGCTCTGCAGATGTTGAACGTATGGCCTTCTCCGAGACACAGCCAACACAGTCTGTACTGGTTGACGAGCTCTCTCCTCTGTTGCACGTCGGGCACTGTCCTACAACACTCCGAAGGATGTCCTTGACGGAAACAGAAGGCACAACGAGGCTCCCATGATGTAGTATACTGGGGTCTGACAGGGCTACGAGATGTGCGCCGTGGGTAATACGGAGTCGGAGGTCTGTAAGTAACGTCACGGTATCTTGGTGATGGTGAGCGCGAGCTACGCGCGTAACGTGGGTAAGCTGGTTGTTGCTGGTACGATGGATACCTCGTGTACGGCTGACTCGTGCCGGGATACCTGTACGGGGATGGAGAATGCTGACGAACTGTGGAATCCGAGTTATAAGCGCGATGACCTGCTGGATCGGAATCCTCTACCACTTGCAATCTGCCAATAACCGTGCTGAGAGCTGACAACAGCTCGTCCACTGTCCACATAGAATCACTTTTGCCCTTCAGTTCGCCAACTTTCTCGCGTGTACGCCATGGAAATTTAGATCGAATTGTCCTCAACGTAGCGATCGAGCTGGAATCCTCGTTCAACTCCTTCATCTGGTACCAAGTTGCCTGAAGCGCGCAAAGTGTAGCGCGTTGCGAAATTGCAGAGTCTGATGCGGTGACTGCTGCGACAACTTATCCCACAATCGACTTCTCAGAATCTCAGGACGATCGTACGTACTCAGAATGGTGCGTACTGCAGTGTCGTAATTCTTCGCCGTTGGTTTGAAGCCTGCGATAATCCGAGCAGCATCTCCTCTAAGGACCGACTTCAAGTACATGAACTTGACTGCTGCCGGCACGGTGTTGTTATTATGCACGGCTGTAGAAAAATATCCCAAAACTCGGAGAATGCTTCGATATCGCCGCTAAAGGTTGGAATCTCATAGGAAGGTAACTTCACAGGTTGCTCCGAGGGCAAAAAGGGGTTAAGGGATGATGAAGATGAGGCTTTAAGGTCGTGCGAAAAAGGATTTGGCATAGAAATCGGAAGCCCAGATGGGGATTGCGAAAAGTGGGTGGGATTCGAGGGGGGATTACCCGAGGGGAAGCCAAATCCACCCGAAGGATGCGCGCCAGTATGGCTCGCAGGGGGACGCTGGTCAACAGGCGCTGTTGGGTCAGATGGACGACCATGATGCGACGGAGAATGGCTGCGCACTTCCACTTCCGCCTGATGCGCGTGTTGAGGGGATGGCGCAGAATCTTGGGTAGTATGGGGCGGGGAATTGCGCGGCAAGGATGGAGCAACAGATGGAACAGAAGATTGAAGGCCTCCCAAAATAGGAAGAAGTCTGATCGCCGAATCCAAGCGAACAAGAAGAGCATCCGCCTCCTCCAGAAGATTATCCATCCCACCGGTTTCCCAATGAGTATGGATGTCGGAGAGGAAAGGGAACTCTCCATGCTCGTCAGGATTCTGCCGAGCAAACTCTTCGGCTTTCTCCAACTGGCCACGTAGGGCAGAGGCAGCACGACTAATAGAAGAAAATGAAAGAGAAAAAGAATTCAAACGATTGAAAACCAAATGTGGATCTTTACTCGCCTCCGAAGCAAAGTCCACAAGATCAAGGTTGGCCTGATCGACTTCCGCGATCTTCTTGCGTAGTGAGTTAGCGGCCTTCGTAAGTTGGGCTTTTTGCGAACCAAGTTGCGACATTACCTGGAACATAAAAAAGCAGAAACGCAATATCAAAAATACAACGAGATAAGCAAGTAGAAACTACAACTACAACCCCCCAAGATAAATATGACGTGAGTACATATGAGAAACCGGCCCAGCCTAAACCATACGCCAAAGCAAAAGGAATGGGGTAGTCCAACGGCAGTAGGGAGAATGAGGGCGCAAGACAAGCAGTTACGACAACGCGTTCGTCTAAGAGCCTAGCGCGGCACCTAAGTGAAACGCGTGTAGCAGAACTAGCAGAGCAAGTAACCGACCGGAGGCCAGTGTAGACACTGTAGGAGGCTCCAGCTTGGCGACCTGGAGGGGTTCGCTGAACCCATGGGCGAGTGAACCGCCAAATGCCTACCTAAACCTAAGGAGTATACCTTACCTAAACTGAAGAAGTATGAATTGCCTACCTATTTGCCGCGCCTTTATCTACCTTACCTAAGTACCTTACCTACCTATACTACCTAAAGTACCTTACCTACCTATCCGCGCGGTCTTACCTAGATACCTTACCTACCTATCCTAGCTTGAACCCTAATAAAGTATACCCTTACCTAACCCACCTAAAAACCAAACTTAGCCTTGTTAACCTAACCCATCCCATCCGAACCGTCCTAAACCCCCTCATCTACCTAAACCGGCCCAGTAACCCTACCAAACCTACGCACCGCCAAGTGAAAACCCTAACCCTGACCTAAAAGTTATCCCTGACCTAGACCCCCTTACCTAGCCCGAACACCCAGTTACCTATCCCCGGTTCACTCTCCTGTTAAAGGCAGCGGACAGGCAAAATGGACCCCTGTCAGATTTTGGTAGTTTCGGGTAGTGGACCCCCCCAAGTACACCGTAGCCCAAACCCCACATTCCAATTCATGCGCTAAGTCCTGAAAAAAGCGCTTCAAAACTCCACCAGCCCCGCCCACTTGCATTGAGTGGGCGTTATTGGTGGAAGTTTGAAGCGCTTTTTTCAGGACTTAGCGCATCAATTGGAAGTTGGGGTTGGGGCTACGGTGTACTTGGGGGGTCCACTACCCGAAACTACCAAAATCTAACAGGGGTCCATTTTGCCTGTCCACTGCCTTTAAGGACGGCGCCGTGTGTGCCTCGCCATGATCCGCGCGTCCGAAATCCGTGTGTCCTTGAAACCTGAAAAAGCCTATTCCACTTACCTGCCTTATCCTTTGTTGAAACTCGACACTATTGCAGCTGCTGGTCCTTGGTCGAGCCCGCCAATGACGACGCCGGCCCGTCACTCCTACAGCCTCTCTGGCACGGTGGCTGACCAGGAATCGAGTGAGTCCACGCGCTGAGCTCGGGGGTTAGTTGGCAAGCTGCCACCTTACCACTACCCCACGCGCTGCCCACGATGTTAACCTGGCTAGCCTCTGTAGTCCACTACTGGCTACGAAGACGAAAGGCGCGTCTCCCTGCTTGCCTGGATCTTCTTACTAGGTGCTGAACGTGGTAGACACAGGATTCGTTACGCACGCATGGAGGATGGGATAACTTAGCGCAAAAAAACCTACCTAAAATCTTACCTAAGCCGCTGATGTTACCTACCTAGCCGCAACCTGGGCGCGCGGCTACCCATCTCCATACGCGGGGCGGCAAAACCGCCATCCACCATGCGCTCGGCGTCGATGCACCATGTGGCGGCTCGGTGTGATCAACACCTTGCCCTAAGTGCTCGCCGCAGCTACACCTAACTCCCTATTGTCCCCTACGATGTCGCGCGTCCACCAAGGTTCATGACGCCTTGACGGGCGCTGCCGAGGACTACCCTCTACAAGAATAAACGGCACGGTAAAATAGCGCGTAACGCTAAGAGAGAAAAGGACCGGCTAATTTAGACTACATTTATCTATAAAACGCAAAAATAAACTACTATACTACAAAAACTACTGAAATTATTAAAAACTGCTAAACTACTACTTCAAATGCATGAAAAAACTAGGCACGGGGCGAGCCGCCTCGTCCCGTGCTGCCGATGCTGATGGTGATGAACTCCAAGAAGTAGTTCCGGGCTCTCCATTGGGTCAACCGCAAGCCCCTAGCCCTTCCGGGACGGTGTGACCCCTCTCCACTCCCGCGAGTACACTTCCTGCGCAAGACGAGCCATAACATTTAGCTGCGCGTCTCCAAATCCAAGAAGATAGCAAAGGCTCAACCGCTCGAAACCGATGATCATCTGCGGGAGCTGTTGGAGGCGCTGCCAGCACGAACGAAATCATAAAAACGATCAATACGAACGGAAATCGAAGAGGCGTAGACCGCGGCCTACGCGCCCTTATATACCCTGTGACTTGGCAACGCGCCCAGCAGGAGAGGTCTTGGCGCGATCTTGAAAGCGCGCCAAGTAACGCGATAGCCAGCGCTCCCGGCCTCCTGTTTCGAGGAGTGGCTTGCATCGCGAGCCGCGACAAGCGGTATTGTACTACGGACGACTTTGGTACATGAGAAGTCTATAAAAACAACAAATATACAGAACACATTGGCTATCGACTCAACTGCACAACATTACACTTCTTAAAAGCAAATTTTAAGCTCACTCTCAAATTGGCAAGGAAACCTAGCTATCGTGAGATGCTGGTTCTAATCAATTCCAAGAACGGTTGTGTGGGCGACGTCGTTGTTTTTTGGGATAAATCTTTGGACCAGTGTTTCCTTCCATGCTTGGTTTTTCAAGTTGAGAAAGCAGATGGGAAAGAATCAAAAGCTATTTTTCGCAGCGATTCAGGGCCAAGCTATCTGTCTACCACACTATGTACTACATTGAAAGCCGTTTTCAAATTTGGAAGGCATTGAGCATTTCATGGCGGTCGTAATCGGTATTCTTAATTATCCTTCTTATATATAAAGCTGAATGTCTGTTTGTATGTATGTATGTATGTATGTCTGTATGTCTGTCTGTGTGTACGTATGTTCCGAACAGAAAATTCCATTTCTGAACCGATCCGGACCAAACTTGGCACACATACACTTCGGGCCCCGGCGCGTGTCATAGGCTACTTTTCGTCATCGATCGATATCGATTTTATCGATTTTTATCGATTTTTTTGCTGAGTTCACCTACGGGGCTGGGAGTTGGCACAGGGGGGTAATCGAGCATGGGGATTCCGAATACAATATTGGTTTTCAGGATTATCGATTACTTTTATCGATTTTATCGATTTTTTTGCAAAGTTTGAGCTACGGGGCTGGGAGTTGGCACGGGGGGGGGTAATCGAGCATGGGGATTCCGAATACAATATTGGTTTTCAGGATTATCGATTACTTTTATCGATTTTATCGATTTTTTTTGCAAAGTTTGAGCTACGGGGCTGAGAGTTCGCACAGGGGGGTAATCGAGCATGGGGATTCCGAATACAATATTGGTTTTCGGGATTATCGATTACTTTTATCGATTTTATCGATTTTTTTGCAAAGTTTGAGCTAGGGGGCTGGGAGTTGGCACAGGGGGTAGTCGAGCATGCTGTCATCCCCAAGGGAGGTGATCAGCATGCTCGATTACCCCCCTGTGCAAACTCCCAGCCCCGCAGGTCAAACTTTACAAAAAAAATCGATAAAATCGATAAAAGTAATGGACGATCCTGAAAACTAATATTGTGTTCGTAATCAGCATGCTCGATTACCCCCTGTGCAAAATCCCAGCCTCGCATGTCAAAATTTACAAAAAATTGATAAAATCAATAAAAGTAATCGATAAATCTGAAAACTAATATTGTATTCGGAATCCCCATGCTCACTTCCCCTCCCTGTGCCAACTCCTAGCCCTGTAGGTGAACTCTGCAAAAAATCGATAAAAATCGGTAAAATCGACATCGATCGATAACGAAAAGTGGACTGTGACACCCGCCGGGGCCCGAAGTGTATGTGTGCCAAGTTTGGTCCGGATACGGCGGAGCCGGGTAAGCCAGCTAGTCGCATATATGTAAAGGTCGGCTTTATTTTCTGCTGAAGCGAGAAAATCCACGATGAAGTGTATACTGTAGATTAAGTGGCTGCAGGGCTTTTGTAGATTGAGGGGTTCAGAATGCTCCGCTCTTATGTCTGGCGATTTGGAGTTTATGATTCTGACAGTGCAAGCAGATATGACTACTGCTAGCAGGCCCCTCAATCTCTACTCAAAATAACGAGATTCACGGGAGGTGGCCCTTCTCCGCATGCCCTTGTATGGTAGTCCGAATTGGCGACGCTTTTAAGCAGATTTATTCAATAATGCTTTTGAGAATTACTACAGGAGAAATGATAAAAAGGGAAGTTGCTGAACATACAGCGTTAGGAGCTGTCGAGCGTTTTGTCTACGAAGTCTCGTGAACAGGGTGTCCCAAAAAATGTGCACACTTTTGATTGTTGACAACTCCCCCGCTTCAATGCTGTTTTTGCCGACTTTTAGGTAACATCCTGTAAAGCTTGTTTCAGCTTAGATTTACAGTATGGAGCGAAACACCAATCGCCCTAGAAACCTCGAGGAGAATTTTGAGCCATTGAGAGCCATTTTGCTCCAGAAAGAAGACCACATAAGCAAAAATCTCTAATGCTAGGCTAATGAAAGTCGCTGATTCTAAATACTCGACTTCACTGTAATGCTTCTTTCATGAGTCATACCAGGTATACGTAACAACTGTTTTTCCAATGTTCGTCAGAAATGTGGTCACATCACTAAGCAGAAAACTTGTGAAAAGCGGTGTAATGAAATCTGCCCGAAAATCCTGCTACACACTTCCGGATTTTTGGGTTTTTGTCAATCGGTCTAAATCATAGTGAGCTGTAGGCTTAAGGCCCCAGAAAGACTTCACGCGATTTGATCGTCGCGACTGAATCGCGACGAGACAACTGTTACAACATCATTCCATGCCGATCAACTTGCATTTCGGTTGTGATATTTTCCAGCCCGAAATTTTTGAATGTGAAATGAAAATGAATGGAAATGTCGGCGATTGAGTCGCGACGATCAAATCGCGTGAAGTCTGTCCGGGGCCTAAGGTTCACACGGTAAACCTACAGCAGTGAAAAGGAATCGGAGATTTAATTTATACTGTAAATCTAAGTTGAACCAAGCTCTACATAATGGTACTCAGAGATCGGCAGAAGACATTGTTGCAAGAGAGTTACTAACGATCAAAAAGCGTGCGCATTTTTGGGACACACTATATAGCTTAGAATAGGATTATACAGGGTGTCCCAAAAGTAAGCAAACTCTTTTCAGTCGTTAGAACTCTCTACACACTAGTCTTTTCCTAAAATTCGACTACCGTTCAACAGAGGAGGCTTCGACTTGGATTAATGGTATGGAGCGAACCCAACTACCTTCATCAGCGTGGGATTACTTTGAAAACTTTAAAGAGGGTATTGAGCCATCAACGGCTACATGATGCACCCCGAACAGATACTCAATGAGCCGAAAACTCTATCATTAGGCTAAATGAGTTGCTATTCACTCATATGATACTCGCACTTTACTGTACCACTTAACCGTTTTTCATAAGTTATGCCAAGTAAATCGCAACAAAGTTTTTTCAGTGTTTTCAAAAATGTGGTTGCATCATTTAAAACTCTTGAAAACTTAAAAATAGTTACTGGAGATACTGGAGGTACTGGATATAAAGTGCGATAATTTCGCCATGCCTCTCGAGTGAAGCAACTGGTTGGAGGCCAAGAGAATTTACGCTTTTGGCTGAAAACGGAAGAGACTGACAATATGAGTAAGCGAAGTGCATGCGCTCACGATAGGTCATAAAAGCGAAGTATAACAACGATTTGATTTGGCAATATTGGCAGCGTGTACCACAACCGGTAATATCTCCGTATCTCTAAATCGGTAGAAAATCTTCAGCGCGTCCTCGAGGTCCTCGTGCCCTCCTCTTTTGTTAAACTATCGTCTTTCGTTCCGCATACACTTGAAATAGCTGACATTCCTGAGCAAGTTCCTTTAGTGAAACTCTTGCCTTGTCGGGCACAGAAAAAAATTGAAACGGAAGGGAAGGAAGAACCTGCTAAGGTGGTCGTTCGTAACGGTGATGAAAATGCAAAAAGATGTATGCAGAAGAAAGTGCACACTGTGTGGAGCAATGCGTTAGTTTCCTGGAGCAAACTCAGCACTGATCAGGAATTGGTAACCTATCAAAATGATGGATTTCTGCACTTTGCCAGAGCGAGATTTTATATTCTTGATTCTAGTGCAGGCAGTGTTCCAATTTGCTGCTGGAGACTGCGCTGCCTGTACACTCAGTTTTTATTTTTAGTGTTGTACACCGAAACTGGCGAACCTTTATTGGAACGTGAAATGTTTCGAGTAGTGGATATCAACCGCAGAACAAACACATGCATATTAGCGGGAAAAGCATGTGAATGGCACGAAACATGTGAAAACCAGTTTTTATTCTTAAGGTGGCCGGTTGTCTGAGAAATCGCTGTCTTCACTCTTCTTTCTTCTCGCCCTCTGCAGGAGGTGCTGCTCCTCCTGCAGCCGGAGGAGCGGCGGCCTTGTCAGCTGGGGCTCCGCCTGCTGCCGCTGCCGGTGCCTCCTTCTTCTTACCACCGCATTGAACCAACATCATCAGGCTGGCCAGCATTAGTTGAGCAATCAAGACAAACTGAAATAATCATTTTTTCGCAGATGTTGATCTCTTGCTATTTGCTGAAATTTAGTTTTGAAAGCAGCTTTTTTCTGCTGCAGCACTAATTCCGGCGCGGCTTTCATCAATAATTTCTGGGAATTAAAGCAGCAGATCAAAAGAGTAAAGTCTAATTGTAATTTTGGTTTAGGCTCGTAAGTGCAGTACTGTAGGTGAGGGGGAGGAGGCGGAAGTGGCCTTTGGCTCATGCAGGTCTAGTTCTTCCAAAACGCTAGCACTCAAGTATTTTGTCAATCAATTCGTTTACTTTCTTGCTCAAAACAACAATGAATCTCTTAACTACGCATGGGCTTGCTTGTGGAGATAATGTTTTGGTTTCATTCCTTGCATTCATTTTACCAAGCCTTCTCACACCTATCGGTCAATAGAAGTCCCACTGGGTTTACATCGAATCGTAAATGGAGCATTGCCTCAAAAGAATCTTCGAAGCCTTTGAGCTCATATTTTTGTAGTTCTACCATTACCATTGGCGTATACAAGAACCAAATCATGCGCCAATGGTAAGGGGAGCAGCCTTAGAGCGAACAAAATGGAAAATTGCTTTTTCTTGAGTCATTGTTCAAAACGTCATTATCTGCTTGACATTTTGAAATCGTTGGCGCTTGTGTGAGTGGTACGTGAGTTTAAAGGCACCGTCCACCCTAAGTTGAGGGTGTTGAGCTTTTGGCAGCATATAATAGTAGGGTCCCCTATCAATCCAATGCCCAAGTTGCGGCGCAAAATGTTGCCTCGGAAACGAGAAAATCGCTTCGGAATAGCGAAGATGCCAAGGACCCCATCCATGTCCGCCCATTTCTGCGCGCCCATCCAATCACCGTTCCGGAAACCCGGCCTGAGGGTTCTCCGGAACGGGGACTGTCGGGGTTTTCGCGCATTCTCTACTTCATATTCGGAGTCAGAGAGGAAGGCCTTGAAACGACAAAAACGTGGAAGTCGAAAATCTGGATGGACGGTGCCTTTAAGCTTGCATTCTCATTCAGACTGCGTCTAGAATTGCCCTGCAAGCATCATTTCAGTGGTTTCAGTAGCGTTTTGTCAACACACGCTGCATCCATGTGCTTCCGGCACGGAGCTAGCACGGCATCGGTACTGGACCGGCAGATGGCAACTTTGGCCTCATGTCAGAAGTAGGTTGTAGCAGTATTTTGAGCCACCCTTCTATGTCGCTTGTTCGCTACGTAGATAGTTTTGTGGTCCTTTTCCAAAGTTAGCTGCATGAACTGGCGTGAAGTGCTCACCACATCTGCGGTAATCGGAACAGCCATTGACGACGAGTGGTCGCGGTTGGTCAGTATAACTAAATGGGAAATCCTTTTCAACCATCTCCTAGTGTTGAGCTGTGAGGCATGTTATCACCTTATCATATTGCATGTTTATCGAGTAATCACTCGTCAGCCTTTGCTGAACCATACATTGTTAGAGCTGTGCGCTTGCTGACGAACAGTAGTGTTAAAGATACTTTTGACTTATTTTTAAGTTAACTGGAGTCACCAGTTCTCATCTTTTCTTGAATGCACCGTCCATCCGATTAAGATTGGTTATTTTGATGCAGTACAATTGCGGGCCCCTACTACCCTATTTTCAGGCGTATAAGTCGCACCCTTTTTGCTCTAAACGCGGCCGCGCATATGTCTCGGGAAGCGGTCGCCTTATCGCATACTGCTCTCACTTAACGCGCTCCATGATGACAGCCAGTCTTTTGGCGTGTTCGCCTTTAGGGTGAAAAGGGTGCGGCTTATACACCTGAAAATAGGGTAGGGTACATAAAGTTGCCCAACTCCCGCTGCAAAAGGTGCACACTAAAGCACGCTCCAATAAGGGGATGTGCTGGGGTATCCACAAGTTGGTGGGCTGAAGGTAGACTTAGAAGTACCTAGAAATATCGAGAATCCGCATTTCATTCTGAAAAAACGCGTTTTTGTTTTTCGGAGTCCAGCGAGCACTACTTTTAGGTAGTCCACGTTTATGAGCGTGGCGACCCCAGCAGCCTTCACCATCTGGAGCAATTCTCTCACTTTGGAATACACCTCCTGCAGCGGAATTCGGGAATCTTAGCTGGAAGGCCGCAGTACTGCATCAAAATCTCACCTACTTCATCTGGGTAGGGGGTGCGTTCAACTACGTTAAGAATTCGATATCTGCCCTAACAGAAATGTCATAGAAAAAAGTTTATCACATAAAACTATAATTTGAATATAACACATCAATCACAAGGCACGAGCGAGTCACCCATGTAGCAGGACTATTGCTGTCTGTGGATGCAAAACCGAGAGCAAAGCGAGACGTAATGTTCGTTCGTTCGGCTGGCATCGCACAGACGGTGATACGCCCATACAAAATGTAGCTAGACAACAACAACATGGTGTGTTGGTGAGCAAATGTTCTGATGCAGACGCAGTCGACAATTATTGCAACTTTACTTGAACAAAAATACGCGATTTGATCAGAGTGTTGGATTACAAACATAACAAGAAAAATGAACAAATACAGGCTTACACTGCTTCACCCAATTTTTTCCTTTTATGGCACATATTTTAGCGGCACTGAACGGAAGCGGGCTAGTTAACAGATAAAAATTAAGTAACTTATTCAAATATGCGTTTTAAGGAGGAAGATAATGCGCTTCAAGTCAAAGAAGCATTTAAGATATAGACACGTGGAGTTAGCCAGAGACTGGGACGCGTTCAGCCATTTAACCGTTTTTTCGAGCCAAATATAGAGTTCTTTATGCGCGTTCCGAATCCTCCTTTGTTGGGTGTAGCTAAAAACAATCCATATTGGGGAAAAAAACGAGAAAATAAGAGATTTAGAAATGCAAACTCACGTTGCCTGGCTGGCAAGCTTGGACCGTCCATCACCATTTTCTTCCAAGGCTCGTTGCTTAGGCTGTTGCTCTTCATGAGTACGCCAGCTTTAATCGGCGTCTCGTTTGCGACCTAATTTGCATACAATTATCAGTTTAAGAAACTGCCTATTCTAACGGCTGCAATTTACCTTATTGAGCGAGACAAGGCTGGCAGCACTTCCCGGTGGACGACTTCCCCCACCAATTTTTCTCAAGAATGAGCCTATCTTTGTCGGTTTCCAGCCACCGTGTGGTGGTAATTGATGTGATGACAATGAGGTGACATCCATCTCGCTACCTCGTGAGAATCGTCGATCATCATACTGAACAATGCCAGGTTTTGTGTTGCGTGAACTTTCTTTCGCCGACACTGGGCTGGTAGTTGAACGGACTGTTCCGATGTTATCATAGAACCCATCATCGTCATCATCATCAGCGATTGAAGGAGCTCTTGAAGAAATGGACTGGTGACCGACAATCGAACTACGTCGCGCCGTCATCTGCAAAGAGAACATGATGAGATGACTCATGACAGGCAGTTTAACTCACCTGATTTTGATAGGCAGGGGCTCCAACACCGGAGCTATTGGATGAGTAGTAACCGCCGTTTTGAGAAGACGTGGCTGACCCTAAATTTTATAATTTTGATGCCGATTAAAAAAATAGATATGACGCGCCCTCTGTCTCAATGGAAATGTCGCCGGCTCGTGGCTTATAACACGCTCGGCCGCCTCGCTTGGGCCTTGCGCCGAGTGTTTACGAACGTATATTTTGGGAATTTTTCCACGCCCGCAAGCTTTTAATCGTTGATGAGGCTACGTTCGCAAACGCGCTGCGAAGCTAGCGAGGCGGCCGCGCGAGACCTGAGACGCACGACTTGATGGCACTGCCATTGAGACAAAGGGTAAGGCTTCGTTGGAAAATAGTTAGTTCATATAACAAAAAGAATATTATTCTTCTTGACAAAAAAGGAAGAAAGATAGATATTCTGCTAGATATTCTAGTGTCTAGTATAGAATGCAGTAGAGCTCAAAAACCCCACCATTTCTTCCAGGAGGATGAGAAGGCGGTTGAGTTGAAGGATATGGTGGAGTGTACTCCGTAACGAAGTTCTGCGGAGAATGACGAATCGCGTTGGTGTTTGCTTGCCGCGGAGGAGTGGCGCGCTGGAAAAAATTTGTGTTGTTCGAGATTTCGGAAAACGGAATTAAAAACCTTGAGCTGTCGAGTGCTGAACTCGTTGATCTCGTGATAGTTGTCATCATCCCTGGGTCTGGCGGCTACAAAAGGAGCTGGCGCTTGATGGCTCCACCTAGACTGCGCCGGTGCTGGAAGCAACTACTATGAGCTCTGCTATCTCAAGAATTCAGATCTAACTCATTCAACTACATCAAACAAAGCCACTGAACCAAGTAAAAACCGCGGTGGACAAGGATTAAGCTGCCTAGACGCATAGGTTACTTCCTGTAAGGAATGGGTAGAACAGAACTCAAGGTTCGCCATGAGAACTGAATTCAGCCTGGACCATCGATGTATTGTTTATACGGCAAGCGGGTAAGCTGCACAGAAGTTGGACAACGACGGAACTGAGGACGGAGTGCATCAAGTTCGAAACCTTGTGTGTGCTTGTGTGCGTGTTTTGGGGCGGGCAGGGCAGAAGAGTGGGCAGATCACATGTGGCGAAGATTGTACATACTCGTATTGGAAGAGGAAAGAGCTCGTGCAGGCAGTCAGATCAGAGTTGTTCTGAAAGCGGAGCATTGCATAAGCATCTGCACCGAATCTTGGCTAGCACTATGCGCTACAGAACTGCTCTACGCTATGACTACAGTGAAGCTAAGTGCCGCTAAGGCTAGCTAAAGTAAGCTATAAATTAACGCTTAGTGGTTTAGGATTATAAAGCTATTCTTTCAAATAAAAAACACTTTTGGGTGTGTAGGGATATTACCTGCTTCGCATGCCTATACTCACCACTATTTTATCTAAGCGCAAGATAGGCTGTGCTGATCAAGTTACATCGGCGAGTCCAAAAATTTGCCTACCGCCCTAACAACTCCCGAAAAGGCCCTCAGCAGAGAGAACGGATTTTACCTTACATATCGTTGTTAAACCTAAGCATCTCATGGTCAACTTTTACCCGAACCGGCTTATTTGTAAAGGTTGGTTAAAGTGCCAACAATCTGCATTGCACTTGCACAAGACTGTTTACCAGCGCAGGACAAAATCAAAGTTCCGCTCCTAATGAGATATCAACTGCCACTACTCGAAAAGAGATGTTTCCTTTTTTTTAGCGACTGAAAAAACATTATCTTGGCGTGGACAAGTTTTCCTCTTAAAGTTGCGAATAATGACCAATTTGCCTAGTATAGAATACCATGAAATAGAATTCTCGAGGGGACACCCTTTTTCTAAAGCTCTCAACGCTTCCCACCAACATACACGACAGAAGATACTATGAAAAGAGGGTATATGAGAGGGCATGCAAGTGCATCCATCACCTTATGAAAAGCTGCAAGGACTTTGAAGGCCTAACCTTACAAAGGTGCTCCACAAAGATGATGTGGGAAGCAGAGGATAGACGAAAGAGGTTCATGCATACATCACATTCACTGCTTGCTCACCTGCATTCCTTTCGAACATATTATGCATAGCTTCTACGCGACTAGGATTGATTTTCTCCTGATTGATGGTTTCAAACGGATTCGACTGGTTTGTTGAATGAGGTGTGGCGTAGAGAGCATGACCTGGGAGCAAAGGTACTCATTCAGCGGAGGTGAACCTTGCCCATCAAAAGTGACCAAAAAATCAAAATCAAAATTGGGGCCAAGCTTACAGGGATGTGTGAGCGTATTAAGAACGAGTGCCATAACAAGTCCCACACTTCAAAGTACCGCCACCTACGTCCACGTAGTGAAAGTGGAAAAGGTTGGTGAGACTTCAAAGCACGTTCTCAAAAATGGCGCATGAATTGGAGGCTGGAGTTAGGATTACATTGTACCTGGGGGTCTGTACTATTATCGCCAAACTCAACAAAATTGGAAATTGATTTACTCTGAAAGCTAACGTGTCATTCGTTAACAACATGTCATATCCCCTGGGCGAAGTTTCGATGAAGTCTGTGATTTTGATTTTTTGGTCACTAGCAGCGCAAAAATGCTATGATGCACTAACCGGCAGCCGCTGCACGTTCTTTATTTTGCAGAACGTGTGCGATGCGTTTGACTTCAATGACTCTGTTGTTAGTATCAGTGTGCAAGGTGCAAACTATCTAGCTATCAGAGTTTAAACTCACTGCTCTGCTGTGCCGGTTTCCGTCGCTGTTGTTGTTGTGTTGTATGGAATTCGTTCACAACGTTATTCAACATATTTGTGACCTCATCGAGCGACTTTTGTTGCCTTTGCGGTGCTCGTCGCACAACCGGATGCGTCGTGTATGCTGGCGGCGGCGCGCTGCGCTGCGGCGCGGTTTGCTGCGCTGGTTGATGTTGCGCTTGCGACAGTCGACTGCTGCTGTTGTTGTTAATGTTGCTGCCGTTTAACGGCGTTGAGCGCGTCTGAAGCACCGGTTGATGTGTACTAATGGCAGTAGGGTACAGAGGTTTGGGTTGTTGTTGTTGCTGCTGTTGTTGTTGTTGCTGATATCTGCAACAAGCTACATAAACCATAGACAACTAATCAATACTAGCACTCCTTACGGTTGTGCTTTCCTCTCATTTAACCGTCGAGTTGGTTGCTCATATGCGGTATTAGTTGCTGTATACATATTTTCATGAGCGAATGAAGTGGGAAAAGATCGTCGTTTGTCTTGCACTGACATTGGCTGGAAAATTAGTAAATAAAAGATTTGCGGAATTTGAAGAGCTTAAGGGTCCAACGTATACATGCATTCAATTTGACATAGGGTTCAAACTGTGCTTGAATATAAAAGCTACCTGTTCAGTATTTAGCTCTAATTCAGCACATAACTGGTCGATAGCCAAGGTTGGATCCTTGGGAGGGGTTACTTGGTGGTATCTACCCCGAATGATGAGACCAGCATCAGGCAATGACCTGAAAAGCAGGACCATACAATGATGTTCCATTCTGCTAAGAGAAAGTGTACTTACCTTAATGACCCTCTCATGTTTCCTCGGTTTGAGAAGCTTGACACACTCTGAAAAGCGGACGGTGATGGCCGTAACGCATCTTCAGAGATGACGCTACCCTGAGTTTGATAGGGCTCCTAAAGCGATTTCGAGTGGATATCTCAGATTTCAGTGTTGTAATAGACACTGACCTGTGATCCAGATCGCCATGTGTTTGTGTTAGTGTAGTCTTTTCGATCAGGCACATGATCGAATGACGATACCCGTTGTATTGGTGGCACTTCCAATTCAACAGGGAAGTGTCGTAGACTGAAAATTTTAATGTTTTGAGGACTTGTGGACTTTGCAAATGTTGAAAAGTATCATTGCTTACCCGCTAGTTTTTGGTGGTGGTGCATAGACTGGTTGGGGACGGCAGGGTTGTGGCCTTATGGGCGCCGGCTTTTCCAATGAGGCTATCTTTGCGATTCTGAAAATCTAGTTTCAAGACATGGAAGGAGAAAGTTAAATCTTGAAGTTGCTTCAACTGAGGATCTATGGAAGTCGTTTGTAATGCAACATATGTATTGCACACCATGCGCGCTACTTGACGACTTATAAGATTAGAATTTACTCATGCACTAATTTTGCCTTGTCTTCTTGCCTCTTTTGGATTGATTGGATATGTATTCGTTTCTAGTACACAATTCCTCAGTTTTTTACGCTAAAGAAGGTTCACGGGAATATACCGGTAAGGGTGTCTGACTTACAGATGACTCGAGGGTACATGCAGTATATCTTGCACGATGAAAGAAACATAGTAGCAGTTACTCAAAGAGATGCGAGAAAATTAGAAGTATTAGGTTGTCCTATAATCTTTTTAAATCTGACTTTCACCGGCATAAGTCAGTTCTTCCTATTTTCCTAATAAGATGCGGGGTAATATGCGACAGAAAAAGCAAGCTCTAGACTGCGTTCAAAAGTTTGCACCAAGCTTGATGTCCTTCAAGTTTACGCGTGAGCCAAAATAAAAAAATGCGAATCCCTGAAAAAACGAAAAGAATCGCACATCAGTTCAGAACACATCTGTGAACTTCCCAATCGCTCAGGCATATACTCATCCCATCAGATAATTATATTACGCATAAATTATACATAAACTTGCTGCATTTTTGATAGCCAGAAGAAATGGAAAAAACACGAAATTTTCGAACTTTGGCCGTAGAGGTTCTTTGTTCTTCGCAAGTAGATGACATAGCTTAACCGCTTGTAAATACTGCTCGCAACCTTGGGCCTAATTTTCGAGAATACTCAGTTTGAGGGACCGAATATGAAAATCTATAAGACAACGTAATATTTTATGGATTCAAGTTTTCAAATTCACTTGGTAAAATTTTTTATCTTTTGAATTTTGATTTCTCAAAATTTTCGCACACTAAGCTTTTTAAAAGTTTCACACACCTACTCTCTAATGGACTCAAATCAGTGCTACTTTACAATGAATGTTTCTGGAGGCCAGAAAATTTCCAGGTGCCCTTTTCGACTGATTGACAATTCGCCGAGGCAGTTTTGCAGTCTTTGTGAGACTTGAATTGAAGTCTCACCGACAAGTGCACTATGGTGCAATTCCCAGAATGCGCGCGTGTATGTAAATAAGACGATGTAACAGCGCCACGCTCACCCGTTGCTCTTTCTCGGTTTCTCTCTCTTTCCGGCTAGGTTAATAGCAGCAACTTCGGCCGAGCAGCTGCCCAATGAGTGCTCATCGACGTCGTTGTAATATGAACACTAAAAATGTCATTATTAGTCGGGTCTCATTGAGAAAAGCAATTATAACTTTTGGCACACGCTACATGAGCGTGCATGATTTATGTGGAACAGTAAGCCTTACTTTGAATATTACCTGTATGCGACTGAAGAATGGATTTATGTTAGCATTCTGAGTCGTATGCAAGAAATTTAGAGCTAGCAGCCCCCCCCCCCCCCAAGTTACCGCAATCTGCTGGAGTAAGACCAAAAAATTAAAGATTGGTTTTCTATTTCCATCCGCAAATAGCAAGTATAAAATTATTTTGACTCTGCGAATTTAGATGCAGACGTGGATCCAATTCTATTTATTCGTGAATTGAAGAGCGGTCAGGGTACCAAACAACACTTACTACCTATTCCAGCAGGTCAGTTTTTTTCCAAAGTTAAAGATACCTTTTTTGGGAGAGAACTCCAATTTTACTCAGGAGCATTTTACATTTCGTATAACTGAGAGTTCGCAATGTCGACATCGAACAAAACTGACGAACCTGCTCTGGCATAATCATAATGGGTGCCGGTGGCTGATGAGCCAACGACATAAGGTCGTCTTGAAGCCATCTCCTAAAATATCGGGTTCCGTATCAAACAACTAAACATGCAGGGTTTCCCTAAACCAACCTTGTGAAATCCAGTTTGTCAGTCTTCTTCGGTAGAACGATGGTTTCGGTGACGTCAAAATCGACTGACTCAGTCTCAGCTGGCGGTGGTGGAGGCGGTAGAACAATCTCAACGGGTGAAGGAGGCTAGAATGAAGAAGTTTGAAAGTGATGAACAGGCGCTCGAATTTATTTTTAACCTGTACGGGTTTCACTTGTCGTACGTTACTATTTGAAGTGCTCGTCGACGGTTTAGATTGGTTTGGGTGGATTACGGTGGGTCGCCTGGAATTATGAAGATTTAGGCAGCATCTAGGAAGATGTCAAGTGATTAAAACGTGCTAATGTGCAGTGTTTAATGGTAGACATGAGTTTCAATTACCATCCAGTTAAGGCCATTGCATGCATTGTACGGGAAAATCTTATAAGCATGAACAATGCGCAATTATTAGAGGGGCATATGACTCATGCATAAAATTTTTTTTGAAAAATCTTAAAATATCTTACGGCGTCTTGATAAGCCTTCTTGGCAGCAAAAGAAGCGCAACTTGCGAGATTATAGCATTATAGTGTAATTTTATTTCAAAGCACAGATATGTACAGTAGGGGTCATTCGTAAACTAATACGTGTGATGCACACCATGCGCCCTACTTGACGACTTCTGAGATTAGAACCCACCCATTTTCAATGATTTCTCCTTGCTTCCTTATATTTTTTAATTTGATCAAATGTGTTTTAGTAGTAGGACACAGAACTCTAACAATTTTTACGCGAAAGTGTTTTACTGAGGATACACTATGAGAAGGTCGTAGGTTGCCGCGCATAGTGTGCAGCCTCACATATTGATTCTCGATGATTTAATATTTGACAAGACCACTGCTATATCGCATTTTATGTGAGAATGAAAATGAAGAAATTGATAGGAAATACTTTCTTTGCGTGCTATCCTCGCAGCGCCTTTGAGAAGATGATTGAGAATGAGCCGCTGGAGATAGAATGTCGATTACAATGTGCGAGACAAACATATGCATTTGCTAATCTAACAACAGATGAACAACGCAGTAAAACACCATCTGCATGTGATAAAGCGGTCTAAAGCGATCATAAGCTGCCGAAATCTTCGCCGATCACAAGTTCTTTCGAAAGATTTGCCGAAAAACAATGTGATAACGAGTTACGAGGGAATGCTCTTACATTGCAGAACAATGCAAAAATGTTTTTTATCCAGAAGTTTTACAGATGAGAGTAAAATCTGACTAACTTCATATCAAAAATGGATACATAGGCTGTTTGATGATGAACATTTATCATAGGTTACTGAGTCTAGGGTTTTCAAAATGTCTCCAAAGCTTCCATCATTTTCTAATCATTGTGATATTTTTTGAATTGATACTACGCTATGCAATAACGAAAAATTATGAGAAAAATGTTGAAAAGTTCGTGAAATGTCACTTAAGCTTGACACGAAGAAGAGGTAGAAAGATGTGACTCATGACAGCAGAAGCCTCACATCAAACATGAGGTGCGACTGTTGTGCAGCTGTACGCCTCATGCTGGATGGACAATCATTGAAAAGCATGTTTAATTTCGTCATGCTTGACCATCCATCTCTTGGCACGAGGTTTTCTAATGAAGAAACTCTTCCTATTCCTTTCATGATCCGCCATGTAGTGGAATGGAATTGAACGAGAAAATTCACAATAGTTTCCTATGGCGCGCAACCAACGCTGACTCTGAGCTCTCTTGCTAACAAAGCAGTTTTCTTATATTTTGTATCTTATCAACCATTTTATAAGATCTTATTACAGCTTAGCAAATATTTTAATGATGCCGAACAAAAGCTTAAGTATATTTGCTATTCAACTTTTGCTGCTTTTTTTGTATTTTCTTTGACTATGAAATATTTCAATTTTCGTACTTTATACCATTGCGCAACCTGATAGTCATAGTGTAATTGTTGTTATATTAAATATATGTGCGCAGAGTGCGGCGTAGCACAAACAGGATGCCCCAAAAATGTGCACACTGTTTGATCTTCAATAACTCTCTTGTCGCTGATTTTTATGAAGTTTGCACTTCGCTGTAATGCTTCTTTCGTAAGCTATTTTAGGTTAGTTGTTACATTTAAGGTAACAACGGTTTTTCCATTCGTCAGGAATGTGATTAATCATTAAAAGAGCTCGAAAATTTGGTAGAAAGTTGTGTATGAAATCGGCACGCCCAAAAACCTCGCTACACAAAAATTTAGATTTTTTGACATTTTTTTTCATCAAAAGCCTATTGCCACAGTTGCGCTATCTGAAAGTTCGTACCGTAATCCCACAGTAATGAAGAGCGAGTGGTGATTCGCTCCATACTGTACGTAAGTTCAGCCTCGCTTTACAGAATGATACCTCAAGCTTGGCAAAAGACATGAAAGCATGAGAGTTATTGACGATCAAACAGTGTGCAATTTATTTTGGGACACCCTGTATTTTAAGAAAGGACGTGAACTAAAACACATGTATTCGGTAATTTAGAGTCCTCAAACCTCTCGAGAATTTTTGACTCTGTGCAACGAGAAGTATCATATAACCAAGACAAGACAACAATTAGGGCAAGTTCAGTTTTCGGTACGATGTCTCGCTAACATAACAAACACCACTGATAGTTCGAGTGTTTTTAGAGAAAGATAAATGTCTAGATCGACGCAGAGCCTTTGAGTAAGGAGCTGACTGAAACTGGTGGTAGTGGCGAGCAGCAGCCAGGCGGTAGCAGTCACTCGCAAGGGTCAGGTGTGAAGTGCGCTACAAGACTCGAGCTGACTGAAGTTCGGTCACGAGAGCAAGCTGCGGGCAAAGGTGATGCCAGCGGTGAAAACTGTTGAAATACAGCTTGCATGCTGCTGAAATGCCAAGAAGAAGATTTATAAATGACATCGGCGATTTCGCGTTGCGCGAGCGAAAAGCGAAGGGGATTGCCGCTGCTTTCGCGAAATGCAATCCGATCCATATTTTACACTGTGAGGGTGCAGTCTGCCCCGGCGCTGACCAATACGTAACTCAAATCGCCGGAAATAGCATTCAAACAATAGAGACGCAGCGACAGCGCAGAGAAGAGAGGTTGATGACGAGCGAAATTTTGCGGACTATGGCATTGATTTGATGGAAAAGCTTGAAATCGCTTGGGTACTATGGGGAAATTCTTCCCCAGTGCGTCTAGTGGTGGACATTGTAAATCAGGGCTCAGCATGGGTCTCATCGGGGCTTGACTGACTTTTTGCAATTCTTACCTTAAGACGTCTTTAACGAAGTTCTACCATTTATTCTTCACATTTGGAAAGAGAATGTGCTCAAAAAACTGATGCACAATTGATTGAAAAAATTATATTTCTGGTAGGCTGGCACAAGCTAGAAAAAAGATATTTACGCTATGTCAAATTCTAATGAATGCGGAGAAAGAGTGCTTTGCGTCTTACTTTCTAATTGCGTGACGTTTAGATAACTCTCACACACTTTTTATATTTCTTGCACATGGTAGATCAAATGTTGTAGTCGGAAAGTTGAATGGGTGCATGCATATGTCTAGGCGAGTCTGGTTTCAGTTGAAATGTTTACTGGTGGTTTCGCTATCGTGCGACTTGCAAAATAATATGAACTGCGCTTTTTTATTTTGATAGGAGATAAAAGTAGGGATAAGTGCTGGGTGCTACTTTATTACGGAAAGTATGTTCATTAATGGATTCCATTATTAATTTCACTTCCTAATACTATCCATCTTTAATTGGATGGATGTTCTATGCATCTGATTGTGAGAAGCAGTAAGGTCACCACAGATGCGTAGCATTCATTCAAGCATGGTGGAGTACAGGGTGTCGAAAAATGTACACACTGTTTGCTCGCTGATATCTCTCTTGCTCCAGTTTATGGAACTATAGATACGTACCACACTGTAGAGCTGGCTTCAATTTGAACATAAAGTATGGATCGAATCACCGATTGCTATGCATTACTGTAGGGTTACGGTAGACTTTACGGTACAGAGATGTAGCGTTTGATGAGAAACATATTCAAAAATTTTGCAAAGAATATATCAGGTGGGACCAAAGTTTGTTCGCCACTTATTCGAAAATCGTAACTTCCTTTCGACTGAATGAAATTTTTTTAGATTATTTTCTTTTGAAAGAAAAAACCATTCTCTTTAACTTAATCTTTGCCATGAATTGGCATAAGAAAGTTCGAGAGTAAGCAATTATAGAATTACTCAGATTGGCATTTCTCAAGCAGGGTCACGAAGAATCTTGGAAGTATTTTTGTTCGATAGAGAAAATTATGCTCTTTACTATAGTGCCTTTCCCACGAATTGAAACGATAAAGATTGAGAGAGAAGCAGATGGAGAGAATTACTTTAGTTTTACAATTTGGGCATGCTCAAAAAAGCCCAAAAACGCCACAGAAAAGATAGGGAAGATGCGAAAATGGGTTTTGTGCTTCTCTTTTCAGGTGAGGGGAAATTCGTGCTGAGCGAGAGCAGTTTTGATTTTCGTAATATTTCCGTATTTTCGGGTCCGCGTTTTTCACAAAAACAAAAATTGCTCTCACAAAAATGGCACGAATTTCTCTCAAGTAACAAGAGGATGTCACAAAACCCGTGTTCATTGACTTTTCCGTCTTTTCTCTGACATTTTTGGGCTTTTTGAGCATGCTCAGAAATTGCAGAACTGAAGTTATTCTCTTTATATGCTTCTTACTCTCGATCTTTTTCGTTTTTATTAGAGGAAAAGGCACTATAGTGAAGAGCATAATTTTCTCTATCGAAAAAAAAGATACCTGCTTGAAAAATCCTGAGTAATTTTCTCCAAATGCTTTTGACTCTCGAACTTTCTTATGCCAATTTATGGCAAAGACACAGCTATAAAAAGAATGGTATCCTCTTTCAGAAGAATGTAAAGAAAGTTATGATCTTTCGAAAAACTGGCAAACGAACTTTTGGTCCCACCTAATAGCAAGGGTTCCACACGTTGATTTCATTATGCAACTTTTACCAGTCTATTGTAGTAGGTTGGAGAAAAAAGAATGTCGTTTTTTATAGCAAAGCAATAAGACGATTGAAAAAAAATATGCGAGGGGTAGCATTCGATAGGAGAAAAAAAACGCTACGAGATGACCTTCGCACTTTGGCAGAAGTCGTGGACGCAAAGTTTAGAGCCAAAACATAAGAGCAACTCATGATCCAAAAATGGGATATTTGCTCCGTAAAATTCTACAGATGCCACTCGCTTCTGCATGTAACAGACTTATATACTATCCATAGATACGCTTGCTATATTTTTTCATGGTTAGAAAACAAGAAAAATTGGAAAACGGAAGATGGCAAACCCCGCCCCCAATAGTCCTGAGCTCCTCCCATAGACGCCGTTGTATTAGGTTGTCGGATAATTTCTGTTACACTTTTTTCTAAAATTTCTAGGAAATTCCAGAAGCTTTCTGAAAACCCCAAATTTGCAACACGTTTAGGACATAGCAGGGTCTACCCATAAGCACGATTGGTGCCGCAAGTGCACTAATGACCAACAAGTTTACGGCAGTTTTGTAAAAGCAGTCCGATTTTTCGTTTTTGTCTGATCTTTTTCTCTGCACCTACTTGCGCTTTTCCTCTTCCAGAATTTTTTAAAACGTATTTCAGCATTGTCTTTCAAATGGAGGCATTCCGGTGTCTCCAGCGTTTCAAAAACGAGGGGTGAAGAAAATATCAAAAAAATTCAAAAACTTTCCTAAATTCTTCTTTTTATGTGCATCATATAGAAATGAATACAGAAAACATAAAAATGATTTTTTGAAATTTTTTGAAGAAGTTTTTTTTTGTTAAAATTCCGATGATTGCAAAGTTGGCGCACACTGAGATTTAAACCGCTCAGAAAAACGTGTGCAGACATGTCTGCGTTATCCCCCTATATTAGCTGAACGCTACAGACTATGCCCTACCTGGTTACCACATTGTCTGGTCTATCGCTCATCATCTGAGAAAACGCCAGCTCATTTATAAAAATGCGAAAAAACGGATTTTCAGCCACAAAGTGGGTGTTTTGCGCACGAGTCGCAAATGTGACGGTACCCTTGTATAGGCCTTTTGACCCTGCTCATACGCCGTGAACATGAGATCTTTCCAAAGCTTCTGAGATTTTTAAGAATTAAAATAAAAAGTGTAACAGAAATTATCCGACAACCTAATATATTACGAGCCTTCGAACTTAACCCGTAAAATCTGGGCCTCCTCGGATATGCCGTAGTTCTTGACGACTATTAATTTTAGCTGGAGAAACCGAAAAAAAAAAACGACTTTTTTTCTTTCCAACCTAATCATTTACAATGAGGTGATTGCATTTCAAAGATATTGGAAAACAGTTGTTACGGTATACCAAGATTAACTTTTAAAGTCGTTCCATATTCTGAATCTAAGTTGAAACAGCTCTACAACGCATGGTACCTTGAAAATGGCGAAAGACAGAACAAGAGATTTTTAAGCATCAAACACTTCATTTTCCGGGACACCTTCTATGTACGCAACAGCGAGAATGGGTGCAATTTTTTGAGAATTGTCTGCAGACTCATAAAAGTCTGCAGATGATTTTTAACTACTCTTGAATAATGTTATAATTTTGTAATTTGAAAGTTTATTGGCTTAAAAAAACGTTTTTTTGGTGGCACAAATTCTCGTCAAGCCTCTTTTTTCTAAAAGAACAAGGTTTAGAACTACACTATGTAATTCTTTGAGCGTTAGTAATTTATTTTCGTTGTTTATTTGTAACAGCATGTATCGTTACCTATGAATGAGGCAAAATTCACTCCTACGCTCTTGTTCGTCACTCGAGTCTTCATGGTTTACGATGACAAAAGGTTAGAGCAGTTGTTTTGGAAGGCGATATCTCTTTCGCGGTAAACAAACAAAACTTCACGGTTTTGCTCACCGAATGTTGTCGGGCGGCGAAGTAGTGGCCGTCGACGGTTGTTGTGCTGCAACGGGAGCTCCATTTCGGTCCTTGACCTTGTCCTCGACACCCTGAAGCAAATTATTTTGGCTTGCGAAGGAATTTTGCCGTGATTTCAGGTGGACTCATTTATTCTCGTGCAAACCGCGGAATATATATTACAAATCTGAGCTGCGCCACGAGTTTCTCATCAATCTACTCCGCAAACCCGGCGCCGTGCTCTTCCAACACCAGCGATCGTTTGCGTTGTAATCAAGCCACCAATAAAAATGCATGCAAAAAGCGCTGCTTTACTTGGAGTGGAATTTTCTTTCGATGTGGACCCTGTGTCTGTTGACGGTACAACTTCTAGGAGACTTACCGTATCGACTTCCTTCTTGAGATCCTCGAATATCTGATCGAGGTAGTCGATAGCCTCCTTGAATTTGTTGCGATGTTGACTATGTTTGTGTCGAGCCTGATCGATGACTTGATCGAGCTGCTTTGTTGCGTTGTCCAAGGCAACACTGAATAAACGGGATTAATGAAGTGTATTGTTTGAATATGGGAAACTGTTATCTGCTCATTGTCAGACTAAGTTATATGGTATAAAGATCTTGCTCGCATGTTATAGATACTATAAATAGGCTCGAAGAAATCAAGCCTGTCTTCTCCTTCAAAGAAAAATTCCCTTAAGAAAAAAAACTTGAATTACTCTTTGTTCATGGTAGGCAGGTAGAGCTGGAACTTTGCTTAAACTCTCTGAAAGCTGTTGCCATGGACTTGTTTTGCTCTGAGATACAGCAGACCATTTTTTATGAATCACACAGAAGGAAAGTTTTTCTAGTTTGAGGACCTTCTAATGCGCAAATATACGCGCCATATTTGTTGCCACTGAACTGGCTAGTTTTGCATACTGCAAATGCGACTTCCACTAAACCGTCTCTTTTATTCTTAGACAAAGAGGACTGCATTTAGATCTTCATTTAGTTTGTAATCAAGAAGAACTTCCTAGAAATTTGCGTTTTGAGAGTTCTCCAATTCGTTTCAAACCCATGTTTCCACGAAAGTGGAGGGGACGACTTGTACTGAATCTGTATCTGTATATGGAATGGCTAGCTATCTTAGGGCGTAACTGTTCTTTTTGCAAGAAAGAAAATTTTAAGAAAACAGTCTCCGCAAAAACTTTTGGCTGAATAAGAACGCTATTTTTTTCTATAGAAATTTCCATGCCGAAAGGGACACATACATATCATCCGACCTAATGAAATGCAGCATACAATACCGTTCACATTTTTTTAAAAATAGAGGCGAATGCATGGACATGTATGGACATGTCGCTACATGTATGGACATGTATGGACATGTAGCGACATGTACATACATGTCCATACATTCGCGTCTATATTTCAAAAAATGTGAGCGGTATTGTAGTTTCTGAAGAAGAAGTCACAGAAAATTCTTCATTGGGTCTGGCTATGAAGGCTTTGTAAACATAGAAACTTTTGCAAAAAGTTTCTCGTATTACGACAATAGCCAGTTAGGGATAAATTGCTTCTCGTACCATATTCGAATGTTGTGTGGTATTCTTAGTGTTTCTGGATTCTAAGGAAAGCACGTAGAGAACTTCATATGGGTAGAAATGCGTTCTATCAGATGGAGGCAGTTTCTGCAGCTATTGAGATTCGCTCTTGTTTTGGCCCTAGCAAGTAATTATCGACTTTTGCAGTGTCTGAATAAGGTAGGAAATCTGATTAGCTCAGTGGATGTCGGGATAAATTTTACGACAACTCATTCACTGTGATGATTAGGTCGGCTACAGTACTTGGTAATCTCTTTCAAAAACTGCTTAATAACACGCTCATTCAGAAGACAAAACTCATGGTCTCTTCCCCGCCTCTTCCCTCCACCAGTTTTCCTTTTGATTCGAAACTTTGCGACCACCACTGTACGAAAACTAATTATATCCCCTTCATCAATCTGTTCTTCGTTCACTAGGTAGAGACGTCTTTAGCCTCTCGAAAGAAGTCTCAAAACATATGTTCACGAAAGAGCGGCTTTAAGAGGCCGCTGCAAGAAATGCATGTGTTTCTGAGCGGTGTACTTTGAGGCGATAAGTGCAGAAGCAAGCATTCTCCATTATTACCCACGGAAATGAGTCATATGGGGTTTTGAGTAAGGTTTTAAGATTGTGCCACTTTATTAGCAACCGTAGCACTGGTACAAAATGTTTTATATAGGGTAATGCTGGTAGCTTTTGGGAATTGATAGGCTAAGCTGTCAATCAGCTATTGTTCACGTACATGCACAATACTGCTCGTATTTTGTGTAAAAACAACGCACAGTCGTCGGATTCATGTGACATCACCGTAGCGTGGCCATCTCGTTTCAGAGTGGACGAAATCTTAATCCAAATGCAATATTCGACTCAACTCGGCACAGCAAATCTTCTGATATATAAAAATTTGGACAGGAGGCCAGATTCCATGAATCGTTTCAGATGCTTATGGTAGGTTGCCCAGTGGGTGCAATGAATAGGCATACTGTGCAACCCACCGTAAGCAGATGAAAGGATTCGTGGAACCTGACCTCCTTCTGTGTTTAAGCGGGCACTTCTACATATCTGAAGATGCGCTGTGCCGGAGTCGAATGGTGCCCTTGGATCAAGGCGTCCACTCTGAAGCGAGATTCGGCCACACTACGGTGATGTCACATGAATCGGGCGACTGTGCGTCTTTTTTTCAAAAAATAGGAGCGGTATTGTACCTACCTTCGGAAAACAAGCTGTCAAAGAAAACATGCATTCAGAAATGTTTTTTTTCAAATTTCAAACAATCTTAATTGTCATATTATGCTGTGCAGCTTGTTATGAATGAGAAATTGAAATTATTCATTGTCAAGTAGATGCCCAATCTTGGAGATGAGATGACCTACGGTATAATTCTTTTTCTGCAGAAAACTTCATCAACAAACGAAAGTACAATGATGTAATTATAGGAGATGATAATTTCCATGCTGAAACATACGAAGCTCATTTTATGGCGATTTTTATATGTACTGTGGCGCTCTTTTTGGCCCAAAAGATTATTTAGTAACCGAACACTTCCCAGTAAATTCACTCAGTTCTGCATCTCCAGGACATTTCCCTTATTTGCTGCAAAAATATAAATTTTGATAACAGTATCTCAAGCTCAAGAATTGCCCAAACTAGCGTCATCTTCGGCTAGCAGAAGATTATGATAATTATGCTATAGAGAAAGCTCTGGTGCAACTCTAACTTCACATGAATGAAGTGCAAATGCACGATAACCAAGAGTACATCCCAATTATCTTGTGAGGTCTTGACGCGGAGAAATTTCATTTTGCGGATGCTCACGTTTTAAAATACGCATACATTACATAATTAGCTTTGCTCCTACAATTTCATATTTGGCAGAATTCCTCAAAATTCAAAAATACAAGCATCTAAGCGGGGATTTTAGGATTAGTATTGATTCCAGCGTCTTTGCATGATAGCATCTCAATTATCTTTTTGGAATCAGTGTAGCACAGATACTCCTGCAGTTATACTGGACTACTCAAAAAACCAAAAAGCCAGTTTTAACAAAAGCTTTTTGATGCAGCGTTTATAATGCTTGTTTCATTGTTTTGATTCTTTGTCGACTGTGGAAAAAAATCACGGAGCCGGTTCCTCACCTAAAGTTCCTTGACGCGTAGGGTCGTGGATGTACCGGCGAGTACAAACATTCAGGGGAATACTCGAAAGAGGGAGAGGATGTTTGCTGAGACAAACTATTGACTGCTTCAATGCTATAAAACAATAAGGATCAACAAAGACTTGGGAGGATTAGGATCATAAAGAACTGATCCCGGAAGAGTTGGGAGTGCAAACCTTGACGTGCGCTTGAGTGGAGATGGTGCTTGGCACATGCGTTTTGTCGAAGAATAGTAAGTATAGAATAGGAATGCTATGCTTATCACAGCTAGCGGTACGCAAACGAAGTCGATGTCAAGCATGAACGCAAACGGAATCAAGGATGGTTTCGATCGAACATCGAGGATTGATGATCCTGAAGTTTTGGGGTCGAAGAGGCGCACGACTAAACACTGAATGGCATTTGCACTGGAGGAGGTGATAGCTGATTGACAACAAATCCAGCCGCTTTTCTGGATTGTCGTCTTTTTTGGAAGAGATGAGATGCACTGCGAAATTGCAAAGCTGAAGCTTTGAGAGCATTCCGACAGCTCTGAAACCGAATGACGCCCCAGAACAGCATTTTTGTGCAGCCCAGATCTAGCAAAAGTGCAACTTAGAGAGTCAATAACGCGAAAGAAACGATGTTGAATTATTAGACGCGCGTTTTATATCGACTATCGATCTCAAGAAGAAGTGTAACGTAAAGGTGCCATGAGCTCCTCGATCGTGGTGTAGTGCTTGTGGGCGGACTGGCAGGAGGCGATCAGTCGTCCGAGAAAAACTTCAGCTGGCAAACGGGCAGCTGAAGAGTCCCAGACGAGTCATGCGCTCACATCAGTCGCGACTCATAAAGCTCTTTGCTCTCTACTCCTCAAGCTCTGACAGGCGTTCGCGCTTGGGCCATCTCTATTTTCACCTTCTCGGTTACCATCAGAGTGTAAATAGATCACACCATTCGTGTGGAAGTTGAGAGGAAATACGGATGATCGGTGTGAACGATTTTGCTAAACAAGCAAATCAGGAGGATGAGAGGAGGAAAACTTATAGCTGGAAGGAGTTGCGCAAGCACGATTCTCTGGGGAGGAATCAACACAGAAAGCTTGAATTCCTAAAAGTGGCGCAGAAGGGCCTACTAAGCAAAATTCTGCAAACGTTTGTCTTCTCTGATGTTCCGGACGTTTAACGCGAAATACTGTAAATTTACGATTTGATTACGATGGCAACAAAGTTCTGGAAAAGACAGTTCCTCGATATGGTGATATGGTATCGGACCATTCTAGCAGAGGAGTATCGAGAGGTTTAGGAACTGGGAAGGAATCGAGGAACTGTTTGATGGTACCTACCGTAGCCGCAATAGCTCTACTAATCCAGACTACTTTTCCAAGTCCAAGCTTTTCTTAATCAAAACCACAAAAATTACAACTATAAAAGTGATAAGATACCAATGTCGCCTAATTAAAAAATCCAAGGGAGCTTTACGATCAAGTGGCAAAGAAGCAGTTAACAGTGATAATAATCTGATAAGAATGCAGAGGTATATTTGTAACACGACTAGTCCTAAAGTGTCCATCAAAACTGGAATTCTACTATAGCTTTAGGATACGTGCACTGTTTCTAATCCAAAGTGCAAGCTGATGCGAAGTCGAGTGCTAGATTGAGTGGTTTTTTTATATCGCTATTGCACTTGATTCTCATTACTATCACTCATTGGCACTTTGCTAGATACGAGAACTTCTTAGAAACTAGCCTTGCCCATAGATTAGAACGTTCTAACCAAAAAGTAGCTTTTTACTGCAATAGTGAAAGAAGAGAAAAATAGCTCGAAGTCGAGAAAGAACGCCATCCAATCGGTTACTCAACTCTTTCGTTCATATCGAGAACTTTCCGAAAGAGTGACGCATTGAAGAGAAGCGATTGGAAAAGATGGCTGAGATTGAAGGTTGCGCTATGAAGACTACTCAAAAGAAATTTTTGCAGTTCTAACATGATAAGCTGATAATGAGCATTTATTAGCGATTGCAAAACCATATTATTGATAAAAGTAGGAGTCTTGCAATATTCACGCGAATACTTGAGTGTTGTTTTTTTAGAAGCGGATGTTTATTGCTTGTCACGACTAAATGAACGCACAGTGCCGTACAAAAACAACACTGAACAGACTCTTAACCAGACATTTCGCAATTAATTGGCCGAAACAAAAAGTGAATGAGTAATAGTTATTGGATAAATGTTACTGCGCATTACATGGCACCACTCTTGCACTAACAAAAGGTAAATTTCCCGACAAGAGTCTCAATTACCATCGAGACAATGAAATTGACTGTAAGACTGCTGAAAATGCAGCAAAAAGTAGCAGCCGTGCACAGATGGAAAACACTCGAAATGAAAAAAAAACGCAAGTATGACTACCACAAGAAACGTTAGTCAAACAAGAAACGGAAGAAAAAACCTATGCGCTTTGTTTTTTTTGCCGCGATCATGTTCCAGAAAATTTCTGCTGCATTGTGAGTATGAGGTCTCACTTGAAAACTGAAACACTAAGGAATTCATTGCATTTGATTATTATACAAAGTGATTCCCCCTTTCCCTTTTAAGGCAACAGTTTCCAAAAAAAAGCTGGAAAAGCAGGAAACAGAAAGTAAATGTTCCAAAAAGGTTACTGAACCACCATCAAAAAGATCAAGAAGAGAATGTTGAAGCTAATATGCAAACACGATCAAAAAGTAACCTTAGATTGTGCACAAAAACTCATTGTTTGTATCACAACTGAAATCGAAAATAGCAGAAAATTGGAAAGCACCCCCTCCCTTTCCACGGCTGTGTATTGGCGTTCCTGACGCTCTTTATCCATAACAACCGGAAGTGAAAGGAATGTACATTTTTGCACAAATGGCAAGTAATGTAAATTGTGCAATAGAACCTCCAGTAAATGAGGAGATTGAAATTGTCAATAGAGTCATGCCCAAATTCCATAGAAGGAGGGGGGAAACTCTAAGAACTAAGAACGTTGTCTGAGCTTCATCAAAATCCGCTTTAAGAGCAGTTTAAGATTGTTAGTATGCAAAAAAGGGCTGGGCTCTAACAGAGTTTGAAACACTATGTAGTTCATGTGAAGAGAACATTTCACTGTCTGTTTCATGAAGAAGGGATTAGCATTGTTGCCCTACAATTATTGCAAACCGGTCATTCGAGGATTATGCTGGGAAATTGTCTATCTTTTATGCTGACAAACCGTTTAATCACGGTGGAGTTCAATGTTATATTCCAATCATTTTTTGATAGATTTGACAATGAGGTGCACATTACTTCGCTACGTTTCTCAAACCATTTTTCATACATTAACAACCTTTCTATAGAAAAGCACGTATTTACGATCTAATGACTTGAAGCAGCAAGATTTCCGCAGAGCTATCATCTTTTGGAAAGAAACCTGACAATGGTAAATGACTATAGCTTCAGTAGTTAGAAGACATCGCAGTAAAAAGCACCAATAAACGTGCTAATTGCTCCGTAAAGTGCCGCGAACGCGGTCGTGAAAAAAAATTACTGCTCGGAGAAGATCCACTCGGCGAAGATGGATTTGCCCCTGGGGGACATATATAGTGAGACAAGCTAGTTTCCAAGTTTTCTTGGTCTACAATTATATGACGCAGGTTTTTGAAAGGAAAGGCAAAACAAATGTTGAGGCGTGGATTGTGCAACTGAGCTCCTGAAGGAAAAACGGAGTGCGCTAGATTTTTCCGTCGCGACGGTTTCATCGTGAAGAAACCGTCGGATCCTTATAACTTTTTTGAGAGTGATTTCCAGAAGATAAAGTAATTTTCAAAAGATAAGAGTATATCACTACTGTGAGTTTAGTGATTCAGAATATAGCTGAAATTTTTAAAATTGTTTTTACGCTGTCTGAAAATCATTAGGTCAGCCCAAAAGTTTTTTCGTATCCGTACCTTCAAAATGATACTTTTCAAAAACTAAGGCATCTGGAAGGATGCAATTCTGTGGGAGTATTCTTGAGTGAGTAAGCTATATAATGACACATTTGCGAAGAACATAGACTCATTATAGGCCAAGTTAGAAATTGAGCCCTTTATTTTTTTTTCTCGATTTCTAGCCGCCAGAAAAATGCAGCAAGTGTATCTATGATTGTCTGATGGGGAAAGTATATGCGTGAGCAAGTGGAAACTTTGCAGAATGTTTCTGGACTAAGATACGATAATTTTTGTTTTTTCGGAATTTTGGATTTTTTTCCATTTTGTCTTGAAACTCGATACGGATCAAGCCTAATACGAAATTTCGAAAGCCGTATTGTAGAGCTTGCTTTAATCTTTCGAATGGTACTCCGCTTCTCATCAGAAGTCTAAGAAGAGCAGACTTATGCTGGTGAAAAGTCTGATACGAAAAAATTTTTGGGATGACCTAATACTTTAGTGAGGTGACTATGTTGATGGTTTTTTTCCACGAAATGGCTTGTAAGGAAAATTTTATCACAATCCACTTTTCCCCAAAAGTAGCGCTCTATTGTATTATGCTCAAGAAAACGATTGTTTGCGAGAGAACTGAATGGGACTGAATTTAGTGAAATGAAATAATAAATGAAAGAATTAAAATGATGAATGAATTATGAATATGAAGAAGCTGATGCACTGACTGAATAAAAGTAAAGAAAGATTGGTTAAATGGAATGGATGAGCTCTCTTACAAAATGATTTTTGACAAATACGATAACCGCATGCCGCAGGCCGATATCTGGATCAGCTGGTGGTCTTGTGTCTTTAGAAAGTAAAGTCTGCGGGAACGGAAATGAACGTAGCGAGAGGAAATTTGGATAGAATGAAGGAATCCAAAAAAGTCTGACATTGCAGAGTCCGAAATTCATTACATTCATTACATCGGTTATCTCAGCAAGCATCTTGCAATAAATTTTCCATTACTCTAACGATCATTGCGCCATAACGTTTTACAAAATTCGCTGAGCAGATACATTTTATACCACATTTACCCATCACTCTGCTACGAGCTAATCTTCTTGTAAATCTGACTAACCTTTGTTGACTATCTTGACTGGCTGTGCTTTGTCGACCACTGTTGTCGCCTTTGTTCACTGGGATATGAGCAGCATAGCGCTCGTGTCGTGCCGGATTAGTATTTGCCGCTAATGCTGCTGTGTATGAGTTTGATAACGAAGTCATGCCTAGAAATTTCGATTAAAGGAAATATGACAGACACGAACAGCAAATCGGGTTCCTTACCATCCGTCGGATGCGACACGCGCCGTGGAGAAGAGTGACGGTCCTGAAATGGTGCAAAGTACAGTTACGACGGGTTTTCTTACCCAAGAGGTTATTAGATTGGCTCATAATTTTTTTTTCCGATCTCATTTCTTGCAAAAACTGTCTGTTATTCACACTGCAGCGACGGAGCAAAGCAGGATCAACAAGTTAGTACTCATGCATTTGCTCAAACTTTTCTTCACAGAAAGTTTGAAGCCAAAACCTAGAAAAATTCACTTCCGTTTGAAAAACTCCTACGGACTTTCTATTTGCTCACAATCAGGCGTATACTCTCCATATCCAGCATTTAAATGTAAATGCTGTTTCGATATGAAAGGAGAAAAGAATAATTTTAAGTTGCCGAAAATGTGTTGGCTGTAGATACTTTAAGATTTTGGCTTCGAACTTCAGATGGAACATACTCTGGGCAGTTTGGACGCTGTCTCGTAGCGCAAAACCAATTTGAGAAGCAATAAAGATGTTACCTTTTGCAAGAGGAACTGAAAACGGTTAAGGATTTGAGAAGATCTATTGAAGGCAATTGAAGGGCGCTCTCTCTCTCTTTTTGAAGGATTCAAGTGGTTTGAGTTTATAAATGACGCAGAAGATGTCGTTCTCTTTCAGTTTCGAGAAGTGTCGTTCGCATGCATCTTTTTGTTCCCATTATTCAGTGAAGGACAAGTAATTTATTGCCGATCTCCAAAACATTGCAAAGTCAGAAAATTTCGTGTTGAGCGGAGAAGTGGACGGGGTCGAAACAATAGCGCCTCAGCTATGAAAGTAGGTTAGCACGGTTGTGGTTGACTTGCACGAATTTGAGGAACGGATTTCTTGTTTTTGGGCGGATGGAAGATGAAGGATAGTGAAGCATTTGAGGAAAATCAATCAGTTTGCTAATAAAACCAGTTCAAAAAAGTTTTAGGGTGTTCGCTCACTAGCAGTCGAACTATCCACTTTTTGTATTGAAGTTTGAAATAATTCCTCATAACGCAAATAGGCTTGAATGGAATCCGAGAAAGGAAAAGAAACTAAGCCCTCGCACGCGATCTTTGATAAAGACTATTTCAAGATAGAGCTTAATTTGAGCTACGCGCCCATTCTTCATCAAAGCAGCAATCAGATGTCTGTAGACAGAAAAGATCAAGCTACGCACAGCTTGATCTAAAAATTGAAATCAGATCAGCGCAATTGTTTTGAATCACTTTTTATCTCACGTTTGAACTAGACTTCAAAGAAAAATCATAAAAAATAAAGAGTATGTGAATTGATGGAATTAAGCGTGAGTTGTCCCAATTGGTCGCATCAACTCCTAAGGCAACAAATATAACTTTAGACTCTCGCCCACACTGAGAGGACCAATCAGCGTTCTCGATTGGTGCGCGCTAATTGGTGATCTTCCAAAGAGTATGAAATAAGCGAAAGTTTCGAGTTTTTTTTGGGAATGAATCAAACAAGCTACTGCTTGGACGGTGGCTTAGTTTAGTTGTGCAAGACATTTGTCTTTAGTTCTAAATAATTGAAGTAAATCTTTTCAATATTTCAAAAGATCCAGACTAAACTCGTAAAAAGAATTTCAGCTAAAAAGGTGCGAAGCATCCCAAAAATTTTTTCGGAGAGTTGGCTAACACTTAGCCCTTTAGTCAAGAAAAAATTCTGGTCACCTCCCCTCAAACGAAGTTTCTCGGACCGTCATCTTTACATAAGAATTTGGTGACCCAGGTGGAAAGTAAAGAAATTTCCTTTTTGCGTTAGTTTAGCGCCGCCTTTTGGTACCAGCCACGCCCATCAAGCGAAAATGCGTGATTTTGCTCTCTCTCTTTTCTTTCTTTCTCTCTCTCTATTTATATCTATACAAAGAACAGCTCAATGTCAGAGGTATAGAAACTTACGATGTTCAATAGACCGCGCAAGTGCAGACACAGCCATGGCATGCAAACAAAGAAGAAACTGATAGCGATTGGGAGTGAAATAAATGGAAATCGTTCAGCCCTACATGACTAAATGTTTCTCTAATCGTAAGAGACAACCAAACGCGTGGGTTTAAACAGCTGTTTGATAGGTTTTCTCAAGTGCAACGTCCTATCGATTACTTGGAAAGTAATAAACACAGAATAAAAAATCCCTATCTCTTATGTCGGTGGGGAGTGGTAGAAGAGCTTTTTTCTAGTGCCTCATGCAAAGAAAGGGATTGTGCATGAAGAAACAAAACGAGGAATTGACATTTCTTTTCTAACGAGACTTTAACAAAATTTATTCTAATAATGTAATAATGTGAGGTTGTCAGAATTTTGAGACGAAAGATTTTAATAGTGGCAGGCGCATATGAATTCGGAACCGAGTGGATATGTAAGTTTGTTCAACGCCAGATATTCACGACCCCGTTGTGGCGCGGAGGTGTTGACCGTGTAATCTTCAGATTTGCGCAATTACAAATCAAGCGTGACGGTTTGACGGTTTACGAAGGGTTTTGCACTTTGGATTATCATGATCAGCATGTGTCCTAGAACAAAAAACATTTTGTCAACGTTCCTGCTTCAGCGATACTACGAAAAAGCTTTCTTTCTATTACGTTTTGAAATAAGTCTTCCGACGAAATCCAAATACGTAAGTTTCTGAATAAATAAATCCGTTTAGTAAAAATATCAGTCGAAGGGAAGAAATAGTGCATTTTTCTGTCCTGAAGCGGAATTTGTCATTGCCATTTCGCGGCACTGCTGGTACAAAGCTTGACTTTTTTGATTTTAGGTAGCGAAAATGCTAAAGACTCTGATATTTTCTGATTCTACTTCCGATTTTTGTTTTGTAACGTACTCTTGGTAACCAATATAAATTCGTGCTGATATGTCCCTACGAAAAGTTGTAAGTTTCAATCTCTTTTACTTCTGATTTCGTTCAAAATAAATTTTTAGTATGTAGAATAGAATACACATCATACACCCATTAGGTGAGCATTTTCAAATGAATTCTTAAAAAGGTATAAGACTTATGCTTCAACCGAATAATACAACAGAGCTGAAATCGTTCTTTCACTGTTCACATTGCTGCTTATTGCTAGTTTGCACAAGCAATTTAGCACTATACCGAGAGGTCTCATAATCTTTTCCGTTTCTCTCTAGGTCATTTTATCTCCAAAAGCTTGATTTCTGATAGAGCAAAGCCGGAAATACTCACTAAGGCTAAAACTTGATTTCTAATCGAGCTAACTGAGTAAAAAGAATTTTGCTCAAGTCTGCATGAGACAGGCTGTGAACCGCACATTGTACTTTTTGTCACGGTAAGGGAATGCAAAAAAACTGCAAAAAAGCTAATTCGTTCACAACTATACCACCAATAAACAAAATACAAATGTAAGTCCGACTACAGGCTTTCTTCCTCTACACAATTCGAGCAATAAGTAAAAATTAAAACTAGGTAACTTTAATGGTACCTGGAACGATTTTGATTTCTAATTCCCGTTTTGTATATATAAGTAAGCTTGACCATCTGCAATTTACCACTCTTTTGGTTTTCCATAAATTCCCATGCGGATTAGATATAAGATTTGTTAGAGTGTTATGTTTATAGGGAGGTACCGGAGAAATCAAAAAAAGAAAACAGAGTGAGGAGTAGATATGCAAGTATTTTATGGAAAGCAGTGTTAACATCTTGAATGAAATTTTTCGAAATCGTTCCCAGACTTTTAGGCATTAGAAATCAAGAAGTTTTCTCCTTCAAAGGGTTGTGTTGGATTCTGTAGGCCTTCAAAAGTTGATATAATTTCTACCCCAAAACGAAAAGATGGAGACGCTGGTGGGTAGCTCGTGTCCAAACTGTACTGAAGAGCATGAATCAGCGTGTAACGTAAAATTGAAGTGACGGTAGCGTTTCAAGTGGAATGACAACGCGATTCTCGAGTGTCTTTAGGGCTACGACGTTGGGTGGGTGTTGACTCTGTGTGGAATGGGAGCGATTCGGGGGGCAGACGCTCTTCCGAATAAATAAAACAAATAAAACATTGAGAGCGACACCCGAGATCAACAGCAAAAAACACACAGCGTGACAACGCCGGCGGGAACAGAGGAGCTTCACATGAGTTGGTTGTTTAGTGCATTTGCAGAAACTCAATATTACGGTATGTAGCAGTCCCACCATCTTATTATGAGGCATCTTGCGTTTTTGTAAGTATCAAGAAATGTTTGTAAGTAATGCGCGAAAAATTCCGCAAGTAAGTGACGCATCAAATACACATTCTTTTTTGTCATTTCGAAACTATGATTTAGAAGTTACAAACATAGCGTCGAAAACTCATAGGAACTAGGAACAGACAGCTTTGAGCGGAAATAGCATCATTTGACTCGAAGAAGCTAAAGTACGAAATACTAGTGCAAAAATATTTGGATTTTCAAAGATGATTGACATATTACTCAGGTTACTTATCTTACAACTCAACCAATAAGTTTGACTGATACCTGCGTAGAAATTGCACTTCTTTTTATTTTTGCTCGCTTGTGCTCAGATGCCTGAGGGTCTTGCTTTTGTCTTCAGAAGAAATGCAAATTAGTGGCTTCTGATACACCGATTATTTGTTCGTACTCGAAAAATGCAGTTCCAGCCATAATTTTAACTTTTCGAGTACCACGGAAAACATGTCTCGCGACTGAGTGTAATATGAAAAGGCGAGAAAAAGGAAACAATTTTCTTTTGTCACATTTATGGCAGCACATGACTGATGTGTTGAAGTATACAACAAGTGTGTTGTCGAATCATCGAAAACTACGTAAAGCACAGCCGGGGGATGGCAGATGCTCAGAAATTGTCTCAATCCCAAAATGCGATGAACAGCTGTTGGAATAGCGCCGTAAAAAGTGGAGTCTAAAGTTTTGTGTGAATTTGATCTCTGCTTAAATTATTGTAAAATAAGATAATTTGGGGTGCGAACTGTTGAAGGAATGTCGGCAAATTTCAGCGGAGTATCTTGCTAAATTTGAAGTTCGAAATGGGTTTCGTTAAGGTAAGTTACTTGTAAGGATTGAAGAGATATATTCCCTCTGGAAATCGACAAATAAAAAACCCTAAAGGCGCTGACGCAGTTGAATACTGCGTAAACAGTGGATATGGATATGCACAACAATTCTTGAGTGCTTTTCGGAGTAATTTGGGTGAGGCAAACAGATGATGAATGGGCGTTGTGACTTCATGTTTTGGGTCTGAATGATACTTGTTGATGTCAGCACTTCAGAAACCGCGACTGCTTTTACAAAAGTGGTTGTGTGAAGTAATTCATTAACAAAAGTATTTGATAACTTCGAAGGGGTAGGGGAACGAACTCAGCCGTGGTGGGCCGCTTTCGCGGACTACTGGTCCTCAAACGACATGCAACAACATTGCAAAGCACCACTCGCCCGCGGCGGTGGCCCAAAATGGCGAAGTTCGTTCTCCCACTTCGAAGTGTTTGAGAAAAGGAGAAAACAAGCTTAACAAAGCAGATGATAGTAGGGTGTTCACCAACTTTTCTTTTTGCATGGAAAATTCACATTGTTTTTTGGTTGAGTGAACATGCGACGTACCCTGAAGGTTGGCTTTCTCGCAAAGAGCGCTAAGCTGCTGCGGGTTTACCCACCGGACGGGTAAGCAGCGGGTATCGCTTTCGAATCAACCGATACCAGCCTGGAAGAAGCAAGGGCCCCTCCCCTTCCACCTCACCGTTCCCCCTCCCAAAATACTAATACAGACAATGGAGAAACTACAGTAGCTGGTACACAAAGAAACAAATGCAACATAACTTGCAACTTTTAAGATTGATTTTTCAACGATTGCAAGTACATTCTGAAAGCCTAATTGTAGGAAAAGAGATGGGGATAAATTTTGAAATTAAGTTTCAATGAGGATAAAGTGCTGTACCTTACGTTTAGTATACGTCCCTTTTTTATTTTTATATAAGTAAGAGATTGAGGACAATGTTCTTGTCGTCCAGTAGAATTTGGTGCCGAAAAAAAATTCACAAGTAGAGGGGTCATCCATGAAATTTCTCGCAATTTTCTGTTATATTTATTTTTTAATTATATTTTAATTTTTATTTATTTATTTTTTAATTTTTTTTATCGTTTTATGCGACCCAATAACGGAGAAACTTGGTAGGCAACTTTATCAACTATCGTCTATTGATGTATACTTTGTTGATTTATTGCTCTGACCCATTGCGTGTAGAAACTAGCAAAAAGGAAGAAGAAATGAATCACAAGGATAGAGCAGCAAGTTTTGATGATGGAAGGGGCCGAAGGAGGACCAGCTCGGAGAATTGCACACAGGTGCCGGTTTTACGATTCAGCGATCCATAAGGTCAATAAGAAGGTGTGAGGAGGAGAAAAAATTGGAGAAGAAAGCTTTGCGCCAAGGAAAAAAGAGCTTTCTGAACGCTTGTTGAATTTACTAAAAGTTTGTAGGAATTAACTAGTAGATGCTGAGCAAGCAAATAAACAAAGCTTATACTCTGCAAGCGCAGTATCTCGAGCGTCATAGGATTACCAGGAACAATTGAGCGGTGTTCGCAAGAACCTGCTCGCCACTAGTACAGGTTTCGTCGCTATTGTGCTCACTTTCCGCCAAAGAAATGGACTTCCTACCGCTATTTACAAGGAAAAACACTGTGAGAAGCTAGTTGACAGGAGCTTTGGGTATAATAGTGTATATATAACTTGAACAAAAAAGTGACCAAGCATACGTAAGATTACGTACCTGTTCGGATGCGGCAAGCGAAGCGGCCGATGCTTTTCGAATGGCATGCGCTTGTTGCTGTAGGCGTTCTTCGAACGGTGTTTTTGGCGGATCAAACTGGATCGGTTTGGCGATCTGGATGCGGGCGTTCGGTTCACTTAAACATGAATTGATGATATTATGCACATATGGGTATCACGGTAAAGATCGCGTCATAATGCGGTTTGAAGTTTGAGGTTTCAAAAGTTTTTTTTCGATTACTATACGACGAATAATTCTATCAAAGTATATCGTAGTTTGTTTGATTACCGAATAAGCACCGTTCATCCTCAGGGATCTTGAGCTTTTATCAGCTTACGATAATAGGACCCCTTATCAAGCCAATGCCCAAGCCGCGGGGCAAAATGTCGCTTTGGAAGCAAGAAAAGCTTCGGGGCATAGAGGCATGTAGATTCCAGGTCGGCACCGCCCCCTCCAGTAATGCACGCCCATCCAACCGTCGTTCTGCAGATGGCCCGAGGTTTCCCGGAACGGAGATTATGGGAGTATTCGCAGACTCTCGACTTCATATTCGGATAGGGATATGAAAAGACCTCGAAATGAGTAAAACATGGAAGTCGAGAATCTGGGTGGACAGTGCCTTCAAAAGGAAGAATAACCGGTAAATGGTTCTTTGGGCCAAGTGATGGTCATTTCGTTGCTCAAATTAGTGGCGGATTTTGTAAAAAATTCACATGAAAAATCAAATTCAGGTTTAATAAAAGTTCCTTACTCCCAAAAAATACATGTCATGATGGAACATATGTCGTGCACCAAAATTCTTAATAAAAAACCAGTTAAATATGCTTGAAAAGTATCTCAACCAAAGTAATATTTTTTTAATTGCATGTATTATATGCGCTTCGGTATACATATGAAATTCCATTTTTACACAAAATCAAAACTTGAAAGAAAAAATTCAAGAATTGCAGCTTCCTTTGAAATGTACGATCATCACATTCTATCTTGTAAGTGACTGATAGAACCTAAACAAAATCAAAATTAGATGTTGTTGCATTAACAAATCAAATAAAAAAAAACTTCTGTGAGTTTGTCTTAATCAGGCTTTATTGCCGCGATAAAACAACAATAATTTTTGTCCTGAGCATTCAAGAGGCACTATTTCTTCTCTAGCATATAATTAATCAAATGAATTTATTACATCAAGACTTTTGGTGTAAAAATTATGTTTTCGTATAACTTTCTCACTTTGAATAAATACATATAGATATCCGGAGAAAAGCAGCTGGATATGCTGCGCAATTAATTTGCATATAAATTGAAGTAAACGAGGACCGTACTCTGCGAAACAGGAATACAAACAAACGGCCGTACATTAGTCCGAAGAACCGTTCATCTGAAGTGGCGGTAGATGTGGAGTCAGCATTCCAAAGTGGTCATAACTGTTCATGTCTTACGATCATTTACCGTGCCCCAATTAGCCAAATAGGTAGGCTATAAAGGGTAATTGAGGCTTTTATATATGGATCCAAAAGAGCGTAGTAGAACCGGTATGGTTCTGAAATGATTCAGCCACAGTTTGACTTTACGTCCTCCTATTGAACCCTCAGCTATATGTATTGGAGTTACCCAATATGTAATTCTCAAATTTCTCTAAGCCGCGTATTTGTTTCGTAGATTAAACGTGAGGACTCTCAAAAAAAGGGAAGAGAAGGTTAAGGTTAGGTTTTGTTTATGCGGTATCGTCTATTTTCGTATAGCTGAAATACGCGGTTTTTTGTTAGCTCATAAACTGCTATTTGAATTTCTGTGGTTTTTGAAAGGCTGCGATAGACGAAACATTGTTAATAATAGCAATAAAACGTATGAATTGCACAGTCACAGACTCTCAAACGTATATAAGAAGTTTGGCGTTCTTGCTACACCTGTAGTACAAGAGTGCTGATGTGAAAGAAATCGTATAGACAAACGTTACAGTGTGAAGAAAACGTAACTACACACTTGTCGCAATCGAATGTGATTGATTTTCGTGTTCGACGAAATTCGGAAGCGTTGAAAACGTTTTGTCGAACATTGCGACATGCACCGGAACACACATTGTGTTCGAACGAACAAACATTCGAAGCGCGTCGAGTGCTGACCACATTGCCTTGCGAGAGTTATGCAAATTTTCTGCATGTCGTTTCGTGACTCGTCAATGAACACTTCAGCAAGTGGTTTTTTTGCTGACATGTCCTAGTTTTTGTCATGACTTGGCTACGATGATTTATGACTTCACAGGACAGAAAATTATTTTTGGGATTCTAAGTGGTGTAGTACAAATAATAAGTAATATAATAATATTGCCGCAAATATGGTCACTACGGGTTGAGGAAATGGCTCGCCGATAGACGCAACCAACGCAGACAACTAGCACAAGCTTATAAAGTAAAAGTGTGTGCGTTGTGAATGCCCCCCCCTCCACCACCCTCTCGAAGATATAATGTCCTCTATCCGGCGCGAGGTTTTTTTTTATGTAGATTGTGGCTGGGGGATTTGCCACGCCTTCAAACGGGAGCTCATATAATCAAATCATGGCCAAGAAGATGAGCTTTTGAATCTTGCCCCCTACCGTATCGCGGGCAATCAGCGCACTCAAAGACGGTATCCGGACAAGAAGTCAATTTCGAAATTTGTGTTTACTTGGCCTATTCGCTATGCTGAATCCAGAAATCCACGCTGGTGAGCGCGAAAAGGCGAAAAGGGGTTCTAATGCAGAGGGGAAAACAGCAGGTGGGCACGGCTGGTTACCCTATGAAGTCACCCTATTAAATTCCAAAAAGAATTTCTCAGTTCCGGCTTCAAGTCAGGAGTTTGCGCTTGACTGTTGGCGATGCTAGGGCGGCTTGCGGAAGCGAGAAGATAGCTTCGGAAGTTGGGAGGGTGACTTCATAGAGTGAACAGTCCCCACCTGCTGATTTCCTGCTGCTAGAGCCCTTTTTCGCTTTTTTCGCGCTCCAGTGTGGATACTCGAATTCAGCTCAACGAATAGGCCCAAGCAAGCAAAAAATTTCAAAATCGACTTCTTGCCCGTACACTGCCTTTCAGTAATACTGGGCAAGATTTTATAGTTGTGTTTTTCGCCGGCAAGCGAATAAACTGAGTTGCCTTTTGAGCAATGGCTTGCTTAGAGAAGCAAAATCCCCCCCCCCCCCCCCCACCGCGAGAAAAATTTGCGGGGCTGCCTATGATATGCGCTTAGGATTCGAATAGAAAAGTTCTAACTAAACAACGCTCAGTTTGGATGGACTCAAAGGTTTTGCAATTGTTGTTACTATCGACTGACCGTAAGAACGCTTGTGGTTTAGCGTTGAAGTTATTGTACGTGGATAACGTCTCGACCATGGCTGAAGGTGTGGTCGGTGTGGCGCAGCTCACACTACTTAGCCGTGACACACTTCTTGATGGTCCACTGGTGATCACCGGCACTCCGTGTGGACTACGTTCGAACACCCGAACTGAAAAAAAAGATAGGGGTAGCGGAAGGATATTCACCATTAGACTCCGCCTTTGCGGACAACTGGTCTTTATACAGCATGCAATGGCAGGTGAGAAAGGACCAGTTGTCCGCGGGGGTAGAGCCGCTTAAGTGGTTTAAAGTTAAGTAAATGGTGTGCTTTTTGCGCATGAGCTGCACAGCATGTACTCTATTTTACGTCAGTAGAAAGAAGTAGGAGCATACCTGCACAAGCTGGCAATAACTCGCTAGCAGTCGAGTTTGCTGGCGAATGGCAGCGTGGTTCATCCCTCTCCGGGATCGGTTCCGACCTGAGGCGTTCGAGACGTCCACGTTTCCTGGAGCACAGCAAACGTTGTACACAAAGTAGTGTGTGAGCTGCTAGTGTAACACATGGTTTTTTCGAACAGTTTACGAGAGAAAGTCACCCGCTGGGCTGCACACTGCAGAAATGCAGCATGGTGGCATAAAACAGCAAAAGCTTGAAGCAGATATAATGCTGAACATAGTGGGAGTTCTCGTAGGCTTGGAAATGTTTGCTCAGTGAATTTCTAGGAACAAATTTCAAATAAACAGCGAGCCTTTCAGGAAGCTCTGCTATGTTTCTGAACAGGATAAACAATACTTGAAAGACCTATAATAAAGTGCAAACATCAAGAGAATTAACAAATAATTGAACAGTCATTAACCTTTTTGTATGACAGTTCAGGAGATAGACTAGTTTTTTTTGCAGACTAGCTCATAATGAGCAAATTTGAGTTTAGTATCGAACTTGTTGCGAACACATGATTAGTGGAAAAAAATTTTCCTTTTGTTGATGGGCTATATTTGGAGAAATCACCAACCTCTGCAAACAACAAATGTAGGGTTTTGTGAAGTTTCACACACCAGATGCTCGAGTCGAATTCTTATGCTGTTTTTATCCCGCGTCAAATTATTTTCTTCTTTAAAATGTAAGAAATCAGTGCAATCTTTGTTGCTCTTCGTGAGACCGAGCGGGAAACAAAAAGAGCTTCAAATTTTGCAGTTGGATTACGAGACCAGAAACTTCCAAAACGCTCTTTGCTTGATGGAAAAAGTTGTTTAATTCCTTTTTGAATTTATAGTGAATATCTGACTAATTTTTGAACAACTCCCACAGTGCCATAAATAACAACATTGTAATGAACAAAGCTATGCGTGCTCATGTTTTGCACTATAAACATCAACAATGTACTTGTACACATTGTTACTATTTTACTTATACTTGCCGAGCGAGCCCACGCATCCTCATGTGCTATCTCTCCAGAGCTAGAACATCTTGATATTTATATTTTTCGCAGTGTTAATGAAAAGTAGAGAAAATATCCACAAAATCACTAATTGTCATATTTTGAACTTATGGACTTCTTGGATTCGTTCGTTACAATGTTGCTATTTAACAATACGAGATAGATCTAATACTAACGAACTCGGAAAGAAAGGAAAGGACTGCTTCCATCAGCAGAGATGAACATTCATTGCTAAGAAGCATAATTCTTTGAGTGAAATTTCCCTTGAACAAGAACACTAGCTTTTCAGTCATTTTCTAATATTTTCCTCAGAAAGAACTTTGTTTGATTTTGCTATTATCTGCATCGATGAACAAAAACTTCGATTCCATCCGGTTATCCAATTTTTGAGCAAATAAATGAAGTGTGAATACTGGACAATAGGATTTGCCGCCGTTTGTAAAAAAAAGATGGTCAGCGAAAGTCGAGTAAAGAAGATGGCCACTTTTGCGCTACATACAAACACCTGAACATTAAATCTTCAAGTTGCTTGCAATTTTTTTTGAACATCAATTTTTTGAATTGCTTGCAATTTGTGTTCAATACAAAAGTGCATGATAGTTAAGCAAAGAAGTTGCAGCGCTGTAAGTAAATTGCTAGATAAAAATTCTCCTTCCAGATGTTGCAAATGTATAGTTCATTCTTTTCAGCTTCTTTTCAACTCTTAATTCGCTCAACACGCAGAACCATCTCATTAAAACAATTGCAAAAAGCTCTGTCCAGCTACATTGTTATTGCGGAGGTAGGTTTCAGTAAGCAAGGAGAAACTTTGATATTTCAAGAATATTTCTCTTTCCAACTTGGTAAAAATTGAGTTTTGCAAGAAATGCAAGTTAGATTGGACGAAATTCTATATCAAAAACGGAAGTAAAATCACTATCAAATCTACCCCATTGAAGATTACAAAACAAATTACCTCTTGACGTATTCCTCAAGCAGCGATTGATCCGGCAATATCAGGAAACCCAAGCTGTTGTAATCTTCCTGAAATTGATGGCAATCGTGTACGCCGGCGGCAAATTGATATTGACCACTGGTACGGCTTTGTCGGTGCTACGAAAGCCGTCACATTACTCTCCAATAAACAGATTGAGATGTGCGATATCGGATTGAAAAGTGTGAGTAAAATGCGCATATTTTCACGGTTTCTTGATAGGGAAATGTTTCTTGAATTCTTTTAGCAGGCTTTTGTTTTCAATAGACTCGAATTTTTTAGCGGGGAGACGCTGAGATAAAATGTTTGAGTCAACAAAGTCTTAGTTTTTCTGCGATGTACCTCATTCCAGTGGAGAAGGACTTTAGAGTGCGTAAGGAATTCACAGCTGTTCAGAGACCCAATTTTTTTTCATGAAAAATTATCTCGCGAGTTTCGCAATTCACATGTTTGAGATAATTATTTTTAATCTCTGGGATGATCAGATGCCCGTAATTGCTCATAAGAAAACATTTTTGAGCTACACGAAAAATTTAATTTCTCGGAAATAGTCAAGATCCATAACAACTTGCTTTTTGACAGTGAATACAGAAACCGAATCGAACGTCAACAAATAAATCATCAAATTTTTGCAATATAAAATTTTTTCCCTTTTTTCAGTTTTTCCCATGATCGGCATCATCGAATTTCTGCATTATAGAGTTTTTTTCTTTGTTTCTTTCAAATTCTTTCCCATATTTTTTCAGCAAATGCAGAAAACATTGACACAAGAGGTAGAATGCCAAAAGTAGCGAACTGCCTAAAATTACCAGCTTGCCAAAATATGATAGGTGTTTTGAATTTTTGGAAAGTAGATGTGGAGGCGCTTTTTTTCCCTTGAATTACATTTCCAAAAGAACTACTATCTGGTACAGGCAGCTTTCGCACCCAGAAAAGCCAGTATGAATAAGCAAAAAAGAAGCAAAGCTGTGATATCGCACTTTGAAGCGAAACATGAGGAGAATGGAGATAAAACAGAAAGCTCTTAACGACCAAGGAAAGTGTAAAGTATTGCCAAAAGAGCCGTATCGATCTTGTAACTGAGAATTTGAAGCTGACTTGTGGTGCAGGCTAGAATGTGATTGCAAAAAAAATCTCGAAAATTTTTTTCGCAAGAGTGATAGGGTTCTGTATGAAACGTGAGAATTGCGCCACATCTTTCGGTCCAACTAAGGCTAGAAACGTTTGCTAAAATGCCTTTTCACCATGTGTGTGTCTTGCTGAAGGACATATGGAGTGACATTTTTACAATATGTAATGACACACTAAAATCATAGATTCTGTCGGCGCGATGCGACGGTAATTCAGCGCAGCAGAACGAGTGCAGAACAGGCAGATGGCCGAGCTACGTAGTAAAGACCCTCGGGCGTTGTCTCGTCGATTCTCTCTTTACAACATCGAGAGACAGCGAATCCAAGTCATGTCTTTCACCCTGACAAGCGTGAACGGCGCAAAATAATCCGGTGCTGATAGAAACAGGTTGTTTGCGCTTAATCGAAGGGTATGATCTATTGCCTTATATTCATTTGGAAGCGGGTAGGGGAAGAATTGGAAGCGGGTAGGGGAAAGAAGTCCGCCAATTCGAGCCACTTCCGCGGACTACTGGTCCCCAAACAACATGCAGTAGCATTGCTAAAGGGCCATTTGCCTGCGGAGGCAGCCCGAAGTGAAGAACTTCGTTCCCCTATCTTTCCTTTCATAGTTTCTTTTCTCCCAAGAAAAAATCCAGATTTCTCAAAAATAAAGTTATCTACCAGATTTACCTCTTTACTTGATCGTCTAACCACATGTGCTGGTTCGGAATGCCTCATTTCGTCTAAAACCTCCGAAGCTCGCGATTGCGAAAGCAGTGGTGATGCCTGTAACATGGTGAAAGTGAATGAGAAAGGTCCTTACAATTTTTATTTGTTGGAAGCGCTAAGATTTGGGGGCTTTTATGGAAATTGACAGAGATTATTTTATAAACATCTCGCACATATAGTAACTTGCTGCGCCAGTTTTTTGTCTAATTAGCGCTCAAAGGCTGATTCCGGACTTAAGAACTTGGCCTGAGGGAACTCTTGATTCCGAACAAAGCCATTGCCCGAGCAGCAGCTCATGTGTTTACTTGGCTGCCGAGAAATTCAGTTTCAAACTTTCGCCCGTTACCGTAATCGAAAACGCCTAGTGGTCTGCAAAAGTACGGTGCCGGGCGAGAGTTTACTGGTGAATTTTTCGGTCTCGAATAAGTTATATGAGATGCCGCTTCGGCAACAGCCAAGTTAAAGCCTTTTAATCAGTCTCCTCATAAGAAGTCCAGGCGCCAGGAATTACTCGGACTCTGTTTCAGTGGCCTTCTATTTTTATCGGTGAAGGTCTTCTGTTAGTGGTGAACTTTGAACTAGCACCTTTTCATATTACACGAACTTAGGTTCCCATAGCGTAAACGAATTTGCGAGTCCAGTATTTTTCGACACAAAATTGTTGTTATATCTTTATACAGAATAATTTCATATTGCTTATAACTTCCCCATAAATTGCTGTTAACTTACCTTCGCATCGCTGTCCACAGATCGTAGACGTACAGACGACGATTCTCGGTCACTACTAAGCTGTTTGGGCGGAATGTGAAGCTCGGGCACAGGCCTGTTAAACATTGAATATGACTATAGCAATAGTAAAGCGTATCTATATTCGATCAAACAAACATACATGGGCAATGGACGTTTAATTCGCATGCGAATACGGCAGATGTTGATGTCGGGCATTGGTTTGTCCACGATCACCTAGAAAGATGTACGTTCGCATAAGTGAGCATGTAGTAGTGTTCTAGACTGCATTTTTATTGCAAATGAGGCTTTGGTTTATTAGGAAAAAAGCTCTGCAATCGATTTAGCAATGGTTTTCAGCTAAAATGCTTGGCTCCAACAGCATTACAATAGTGGACTATACACTTCTTGTTCCTCCATAAGATCATATATAAGCGCCGTAAATCTCTTTCTTCATAGTCTAGTATAAATCCCAGTCCACTGATCGTTATCCATGCTGTTTTGATGCGTCATTAGTATGTCCAACTGAAGGTTACAATGGTTTCCGCGCTAAAATTATCTTATCTGATGAAAACACCTACGCCTTACTTTTTGGTAGGAAGCGTGATTGGAACCCTGTCAAGATGTGGAAGAAGTTTTCAACTCCTCCCAAATATCACAAAGTTGCGGGCAGTAACCTGGTTACAAAAGGGATGGCTTTCAATGCTTTGAGTTTATTTCTTGTCATAAAAGACTCTGTGCTGATTGTATACCAAAAGTTTTTGAATTAAAAAAAATGACAGAACTAGTACAGTTTTTCCATGTTCCATTGATCCAAAAATCCAAAAGTTCGATCAGCACAGATTTTTTTTGGTTAGAAAGATTAGCGTACAAAAATACAGGGTGTCCCAAAAAAATGTATCGAACGTTTGATCGTTATTATCTCTCTTCCCAAGAAGTCTTTTGCCTTGCTTCAGGTACCGTTTTGTAGAGCTGGCTTCAACTTAAATTTGCATTATAGAACGAATCACCCATCTCTCTTCATTACTGTAGGATTACGGTAGAAACTTGAAACATATGGTGTCAATGTGGAAAAAGCTGCCGTTTCAAAAATTTTCAAAAAATTGTGAAAACTCTTGTATTGGGGTTTTTATGGACGCTGAGTTCAATACTCAACTACTCTCAAGGTTGCGAACTTTCTAAACGGTGTAACTGTACTTTTGAGGAATATTGGATGAATGGCCGCTACCTCTTACCTGGCATAACTCTTCAATAAAATAATAAGTTGGGAACTTTACAGTTGTAATCAGCAACTCTAAATAGCCTAGTGTAAAAGCTTTCAGGCTGCTTTGTTTTCTTTCTGAGGCAAACTATGGCCTTTTATTGCTTAAAACCCTTTTTGAAGTTTCTACCGTAATCCTACAGTAATGAAGAGAAATGAGTGATTCATTCTATAATGCAAATCTAAGATGAAGCCAGCTCTACAGATTGGTACCTGAAGCAAGAGAAAAGACTTCTTTGGAAGAAAGATATTAACGATCAAACGTTCGATACATTTTTTTGGGACACCCTGTATTATGGGCAACATCGCCATCTTGAAGCCTTTTGGGTCTCACTGACAATTTGTAAAATTAAAGTTTTTATTTTGCTTCAGGTGATAGAAAGAGTACACCTTATTGTCTCTTTTAACACATTCACGACAATGCAGATTTTTCGATTACTGCCGTTTGGGTCCAGAGGCTTTTGCGCTTTGTCAAACTTACGACCCACCCGTGTGTCGTATTGTCCGAAGTGGTAGTCTTTTTGGAAGAATTTCAAAAATTTCTCCGAGAATCTCCCCACAAGGGTTATCGAATATTTCGCTTTTTGGCGTTTAACGGTAAGGTTACGGTAATCATTCTATACGAATTCAACATAATGGATTTTCATGAAAAATTGGTTTTTGGGGTTATTTCACGTGCTGAGCACGATTATAGTATTTATTTTGTTCAGCACTTTCCCACAGTGGGACTACGATAGCAGTACGGTAGAATTCTCGTAAAAATCAAGAAACCGATATAAAAAGGCGGTATTAAAACTTGAGACTATCATTTTCGTAATCACCACGCTACAAAACCTATATTTGTAAAGTTTGAGCTTCCTGGGATGAACATTGGAAAAAAATCAATAAAATTAATAAAATCGATAATTTTGCGATAGGCTGACATCTCGTGCCCTCCCCGTATTTCTCTTGCATGTAACTTGAATTTTCAAAAACAGCGCCACATTTCGAAAAATCTAAGCTAAAGTCTGTGTTATTTTTATCTACGGTGTGCCTACCGTAAGACTTAAGACTACATTACGGTATCCCGACCGGCCCACTCTGCTGAAGCTTCGAAAGTGTCCTTAATCATATGCCAGAACCCATCGAATTCCATCATAAACTGGCGAAGCCAGAGATTTAGAATCTTACGACCCATCGGTGGGTAGTGCTGTCCGAAACGGGAGAACACTTACGACTCACCGTGGGTCGTATTGTCGTGAATGTGTTGAATAATTCTTCTAATCTAACTTTTGCCCTTAGACAGTTATCGTGTCCTACAAATTGCTTTACGCTAGTAATTTTTATTGCAAAATGGATATCAGTGGGCAAATAGAAGCGGACCCCTTCCTAAATCTATGATGATTTTTTTGGTCGTACCTGCGCTCCATGCTGTACTGGTTTTTTCCTAAATGCTTCTTGACATGAGCTAGCGTTGACGACACTGGCCTTGCACATTAACGATGCAGATGATGTGCTTTTCCTAGAAAGAGACTGTCTTGAACGAAAAATGCTGCAGAAGTGCTAATTACTTTTTCTGCTGCAATGTCTTTTTGGCCATAAGTGGTGTAGGCATCCAATAGAATGTATGATGAACATTTCGAGTCGCCGTCGGCTTGCATTCTCGAATCTTTCGCGTGTTTCTGATCGACAACCTAGATAGCCAGATTACAGTACTTCTACTAATGGACTTGAGCAGTTCTGAAGCAGGTTAAAGGAAGAAACTAAGCGGGTTAAAGCTAATCGGCTCTTTTAATAAGCTAGTACAAAAACAAGTTTTTAAATAATGTACAAAATAGAAGCTATGTAGGAAACTTTAAATTCTCTTTGTAGAACTATTATCCATTTCCGAGTAAGGTTTCTCCTATGATTCTAAGAACTCTAGCTTCGCCCAAATATGGCAGAAAATTATTTTATTTCCCAAAAAACCAAGTCTTCTCAAAAAACATGACCATTCAGCAAATTTCTAAACTCAAGTTCTGCACGAGTTGAGTTTTATCAACAGAATAACATGTGAATGAAGAAAGAGCAAATGTGAAGTTTTGTGAAAAAAGGAGTAGGTAATGAGAGATATTAAGAGGATGACAAATATTTTAGAAAGTTTCAGTATAGATGCTCACCACATAGGCGCCAGAAGAATAGCCGAAATTCCTTCAGCGCGGGAAGATTTTGACTTGATAGTCGTTGACATCTGCAAGTATCATCTGACAGAAGTGGAAAAAAGCGTATTCGATTTCAAATGGAAAAGCGTGCGATTGGCGAATGTGCAGCACTGAGAAATGACTGCTGAGCTTAGCAAAGGGCAAACTGCTGTGAGCGCTAAGGATTCATAAAATGAGAGGCTAACCCACAAGAACAACCACATGTGCACTGCTAGAATGTGCGTTTTTGAACATAATTGGAGCAGATTTATTATTCCGTCTCACCTGTGTTTTTTCTTCTTTCTGCACAGCGGGCTTGGCCGGTTTTTCCTCCGTTTTCTTCTGCGCTTCGGCTACAGAAATCTTCTCGTCCTTCGATGATCCGTTCTTTACCTGCGTTTTCTTCGGCGCTTCGATTTTTTTGGTCTCCTTTGGCTTGGAATCTAGCTTTTCAACCTCCTGGTTCTGTTGTGCCGGCTTAGTCGCTTCTATTTTCTCTTCGTTTTTCTCGACTTTCGCTTGCTCTGGCACACTTGGCCTCGTTTTCGCTGTGAACTGCAAAAGTTATGGCTTTTTCGAGTTCGCGGAAATCAGATGGGCTCTTTCGGGAGTGAAAACTATTGCTTACCAGCTTTTTGATCCTCGACGCGCCACTGCCCTTCTTCTGCTCCTTGTCCTTCTCGCCGCTGGCAGCGTTCTCCTTCAGCTCCTTAGCCTCCTTCTTCTCCTCCTTCTTTACTTCCTCCTGCTTCGGCGTTGGTTTGACGACCACCGCCGCTGGTGGTGGTGCCACCGTCACTGGTGGTGGCGGCGGCGCCATCACCTTCCTTGGTGAAGCCTTTGTACGTTTGCTTATGCGAGCATGTGGGCGAACTTCCCACACAAATGCGGTGCCCCTTTCTTGTTGGTCCCTAAAAGAAAGCTTTGATTTGACGAATTTTAGATATGGTATATTGCACAGTAGCCGCTTACCTTACAAACCGTTTATTTTTGCTAATAAATTCATCTGCACCAGCGACTTTCCACAATCCAGGCACTGGCGCGACCCGTTTCACTTTTGGCTGAAATACATTTGTGAGGATAACAAGTAACTTCTTAAAAGGTCTTCTTATAGGATTCTAAACTCTTTATACCTAATTCTGAAAGTGAACGAGTTCAACACATCCATTGTCAGATATGTGCAATTATGTGCCCTCAAACTCCCCGCTAGAATTGATGTTTCTTATGTCGCTTTTGTGAGACCGACTGCTAACCTCTGTTTTCACTTTTCAAAAAAAAATATACTCCCAAAGACTTAGAAAACACTGGACTACAGTACCCACACTAATTATTCGACAGAAAACGCAAAAACTGACGATCCGCGTTTTTTTCGTTTTTTCTTCATAACTTCCTTCAAATTGCATAGAATACAAATCCGAAGAAAGCATGATGCTCAGCTCGTCAAGATGAATCTTCTGATGTATTGCACTCTCGCACTATTCTGTTTTCAATCTGGTCGATTTTTGTGTGAGGACGGGTATTCGTAGTGGTGAAACTCAGCGAAGAACACACATGGACGAATCAAGTAAACATGGGTCAGTAGCGCTGTCCCCGTAAATTATCATGTATTAGTGAGTAGCGAAGGATTCCCTTTCCACAGGGAAAGATAGGCCGTTTAATTTTGAAAAAATCGATGTCTCTCAAATTTTCGTTACCGTAACCCTACAGTAAGACGCTAATTTGCAAAGCAGGTGTGTTTTTCGTAATCAGCAGGTTAGATAACCTCTATGCGCAAGTTTTCCAAGGAATTCAGAACCTTTCATTTTTTCTCGTTCTAAGCTGTGAAGCTCGCCGACCGGTTTTGGCTAAAATATTGATGATCTTGGATTGACCGGAAACTTCGCCCATAGAGGTTTTCGGACTCGCTGATTACAGAAATAGTGCCCTCTGTGCAGCATAAGTTCTTTTGGCAGAGTTATGCTGAGAGGAATGCTGCGATACTACGCAAGTTCCTAAGTTTGTCTGCCCTTTACGCGTGTCTGTTGGACAACTTACCTGCTCCTTTTTGTAATTTGAAATCAATAGAGGCAGTGCTCTTAGAGCATGCTTAAACTAGGCCTTTACCTATATTGGTCGCCGAACTGTGAGCTGACGAACTCACGTCCGCATGAAAATCGTTCGAAATTTTAAGATCGCACATTTTGGCCAAATATCGCCGCGAATGGTTACGGATGACTCTGATTGCAGATATTATGTTTATATACACATGTTCATTGCTGATTTATGCCGCATACTGCTGCTTACCCCTTGTGCCAACTCTTACACCTGTAACTCAAAGTTTACAAAAAATCGATAAGCCGATATCGACCGATGACGAAATGTAATCTATCAGACCACTTCGGCTCCTAAGGCTAGGTTCATACTAATTCCCATGTTCCGGAACTGTTCCCGCACAGTCCCGCAATGTTCCCGCATTGTGCTGGGAACTGTGCGGGAACTGCAACTGTACTGCATGCGCTTTGAACGGCGCGAGTTGGAGAATTTTGACCGTTCTCAACGGTTTTCCTTCCAGATTTCTTTCATTTTGACCTTTCCTCTACCCCGCTTCTTTTTCTTGATCAGCAGAACTTCGAGCTCAAAGCGGGGTTGAAGAATGAGTGCTTTTCTGTTCTGCGTATGCGACAAAATGTGTGTTCTTGCGCTCGTCCATTTTCTCTTCGCTTTATTTTTACACAGACTCATTCCATTTGTTCCAGGAAGCCCCTGCTTAGTTTCCATAGCCATCTGCTATGAACTGGGGAGTAGGAGCAATTCCGAAATTGCATGAATTGAGACTTGTCTCTTGTTTTGATGAGTTTCGTTTTTGGGCACTCTCCGCCCCTTTCCTTTTTCCATATCGTTGTTTCTCCTTTCTTTCTTCTATCCTTCTCCTTGTGATGAGAAAAAGGTGTGAACTTGATGCGGAGTTGAGGATTGAACGCGGTTCTCATCATGTATCCGGGAAGATGAACTTTCTTGCGCTCGTCCATCTTCTCTGCCATTTTTGTTCAGGCCTACTTCATGTGTTCTAGAGACCTGTCCATGTCCCTTTCAATACAGATGCGAGACTATGCAGCGCCTTCTAAAACGCATGAAGCAGGCCTGGGCAAAAATGGAAGAAAATGGACAAGCGCAAAAAGAGCAATCTGCCCGGATATGGAATTTAACTCGCTTTAATTTCACACCTTTTCTCATCACAAGGAAAGGGGCTGAGAATGGCCAAAAAGGGAACTCATCAGAAAACAAGAGAAAACTCCCAATTTATGCAACTTCAGAATTGCTCCTACTCCCTAATTCATGGCGAAAAGCTCTCATTCTTCAACCCCGCTTTGAGCTCGAAGTTCTGCTGATCAAGAAAAAGAAGCGGGGTAGAGGAATAAGGCCAAAATGAAAGAAAGAAAAACCGTTGAAAACGGTCAAAATTCTCCAACTCGCGCCGTTCAAAACGCGTGCGGGGCGGCTGCAGCGCATGCAGCACAGTTGCAGTTCCCGCACAGTTCCCAGCACAGTGCGGGAACATTGCGGGACTGTGCGGGAACAGTTCCGGAAGATGGGAATTAGTATGAACCTAGCCTTAGGAGCCGAACTGGTCTGATAGATTACATTTCGTCATCGGTCGATATCGGCTTATCGATTTTTTGTAAACTTTGAGTTACAGGTGTAAGAGTTGGCACAAGGGGTAAGCAGCAGTATGCGGCATAAATCAGCAATGAACATGTGTATATAAACATAATATCTGCAATCAGAGTCATCCGTAACCATTCGCGGCGATATTTGGCCAAAATGTGCGATCTTAAAATTTCGAACGATTTTCATGCGGACGTGAGTTCGTCAGCTCACAGTTCGGCGACCAATATAGGTAAAGGCCTAGTTTAAGCATGCTCTAAGAGCACTGCCTCTATTGATTTCAAATTACAAAAAGGAGCAGGTAAGTTGTCCAACAGACACGCGTAAAGGGCAGACAAACTTAGGAACTTGCGTAGTATCGCAGCATTCCTCTCAGCATAACTCTGCCAAAAGAACTTATGCTGCACAGAGGGCACTATTTCTGTAATCAGCGAGTCCGAAAACCTCTATGGGCGAAGTTTCCGGTCAATCCAAGATCATCAATATTTTAGCCAAAACCGGTCGGCGAGCTTCACAGCTTAGAACGAGAAAAAATGAAAGGTTCTGAATTCCTTGGAAAACTTGCGCATAGAGGTTATCTAACCTGCTGATTACGAAAAACACACCTGCTTTGCAAATTAGCGTCTTACTGTAGGGTTACGGTAACGAAAATTTGAGAGACATCGATTTTTTCAAAATTAAACGGCCTATCTTTCCCTGTGGAAAGGGAATCCTTCGCTACTCACTAATACATGATAATTTACGGGGACAGCGCTACTGACCCATGTTTAATTGATTCGTCCATGTGTGTTCTTCGCTGAGTTACACCACTACGAATACCCGTCCTCACACAAAAATCGACCAGATTGAAAACAGAATAGTGCGAGAGTGCAATACATCAGAAGATTCATCTTGACGAGCTGAGCATCATGCTTTCTTCGGATTTGTATTTTATGCAATTTGAAGGAAGTTATGAAGAAAAAACGAAAAAAACGCGGATCGTCAGTTTTTGCGTTTTCTGTCGAATAATTAGTGTGGGTACTGTACTTCTCATTTCCAGAGACCATGATTAGCAAAGGTTTTCTTTGTAGGAACACTAGGGCTATTAGTACAAACACATAATTGCATTTCTTTTTTACAAAAGTCACCTTTAGTTTTACATTAGAAGAGTAGAAGCTGAGTGGACGTGGTGCTCAGCTAGGTCTATTCCCATTATTTTGGCTGCTAGCTGAGGGTGCTGTAGCAATTTTAGTGTATGCCTGTTGCTAACCATTACTTTACGGTGAGATCATTGGTAACATTTGAGACTTCAGTGTAAAAATTACAACTTAGCTGGTGTCAGTGTTTCTTTCGTTCCCGTGAAGCCTACAAACAGCTTAGAGGCGCCGCGTCCACCCAAATGGGGTCGATGAGATTTTGATGCCTAACAGTAGCGCGGCCCCCTACTGTATACTTGCCCACCCCGCGCTGTCAAAAGTTGCTTCCGAAAATCGAAAATGGCTTCGAAAATCCTTCGGATGAAGGATTCGCCTCGTTGGCTCCTCCACTTTGAGTGGGCTGGACGTCCGTCTCGCCCATCCTGCGCACCCAATCAATCACCTTTTCGGAGAAATCGCCCTGCGGGTTCCGCGGAACGGGGATTGTCGCCTTGATATACGGAATCAGGGACATGAAAGGCACCGGAACGACAAAAACATGGAAACCGAGAATTTGAATGGACGATGCCTTCAAAACAGCAGCTCACTTCACTTTGAGAAAATTCAAAAAATATCATTTCTCTACATTTAAGAGTGAGATGGAAAGATGTTCGCATTCACTTGTTTTGGCTTCAAGCGAGTAAAATACTTTAACAAAAAACTAGCATGCCGCGAGTTCTTACTCTTTGGTAGGAAATAGGTGTTTGCAAGTCGGGAAGTTGAACAGTTTCATAGATTTAGCAAATATAAATTTTAAGTATGATTTAATCAGAAAAAAGTATTTTTTAGCGGTTATCCGAACTGGTTGGTCCATAATTTTCTTGCACAATATTTCTGGATAGAACATAAAACTCTGGTCGCAGCGAATTGTGGGATTCATCATAGCTAGCAATAGAAAACCATGTATGATAAATAACAAGGGTTATAACAAAAATCGCTATTGCAGATCACGTTGTGAATGTGGTTTCACGAGCTATCCTTTTGACTGACAAGGGAAGGATACTACTTGCTCGACGTGGCGTTTCCATATAAAATGTATACTGTCTTATAGAGCATAAAACGCTGATTCCAAATCTGCTTTCCTTATTTGCAAAGCGTTTGTGGGTGGGGAGTTCTGGAAAACTGAGATAAAAATTCAATATTTGGCGAGGGTAAAAATAAGTGCTGAGATCTTTCTTGGAATGCATAATGACTGATATGAGTTTATTAGATTGAAGGTAATTGTTGCATAAAGGCCCTGG